AGCTGGCCACAGAAGCTATTTAAGGCCCATGTGCCTGAGGGCAGGCAGAAGAGGAGCTGCCCAGGTCAGAGGTGCTTGCAAACTCTGCTCCCAAAGGGACCTTCAGTCAGGAGGAGAAACTGTGTTCTGGTGTTTATTTGGATTTTAGATGTAACATGTATTGTTTGTTTGTTTAGTGATTAAAATCTGAAAGAAATGCCCGGCTGCTTTGGCAGAAGAACTTCCAGCGGGTCTTTCGGTGCTTTAGCCATTCTCTGCCCCTCTTCCAAAAACAAATAGACTATGGGGTGGGCAAATGATTAAGAGACCAGATTGGCTATGCAGTCCATAAAGAAACTGATCTGAAGTTTTTGCTTATTTGTTTGTTATTACTAAGACCAGAACACAGTATCTTCTGTGAGATGTTGTAAGGAGAGGGGGATGACGTGAGGTATCACTCCGTGGACATCCTGCTGGGCTACAACCATGGCTGCCAAGCAAACTCTGATCAATGTGGAGGAAGTAAGAGATGCTGGCATAAGGTATCCTGTGGTCCCTGAGACTCATCTCTGGGTGCAAATGAAGGCATTTGCCCTGGTTGGAGAGGGGAAAGCATATTCCCAGGCCTCCTCAGAAGACCTTTCTCCCATTTTAAGAGGTACGTAGATGGCCCTTTGCTGAAAGGCAGAAAGCACAAGCGGCATCTGATGCATCCAAGCATAAGGGCACGCTCTGGGCATAATTCAACATGGCTTGAGAACTTTTGAGCCAGGGAACAGGGAAAAGTGTAACTCCATGTGACAGAGAACAACCCAGGTAGGTCGAAAAGCTGTCACTTCCAATTGGCCATGTGAGTTTGTTAAAAGGACGCAAATAGCTTTCCCTCCTCTGCCACCTGCCTTCTCTACAGTAGCGAATTTTCTGAGAGCCAAGTCCTCTCTCTTTCTTTACTAAGCACCCTTGTCCTTGGCAGAATTACAGGTTAAAGGAAGTTATCTGTTTCTTCCCACTGTGCATGCACAATCATGGGTACGGCTGGAAACAATACTACATGTGACCCAGGCTTTGAAAAATTGTTTGAATGTCTGGAGAAAATATTGCAAATATAAAAGCCAAGGCACTCATGAAGGCTGAAGTCATGTGCACTGGTTATAAGAGTGAATATGTTTCAAGAGCCACTGAACACGGTAGGAAACCAAGGGCTTTCCTGGGGCCTAAGCCGGACTGAGAAGTCTCCTTTCGTGCAACCAACACTAGCAACCTTCCCTGAGATAGTTGTGATTGGGGTAGACATGCCCTGATTGCCTGGAATTCAGTCCTTCTGATCTAGGCTGGCTGGAGCGCTGTTTCTAAACCAAGAAGGGAGTTTCAGACTCCTGAGTAGGGAAAATTTGATCACTGTGGATATAGATATTTTTCTGGTCGACATAAGAAGTAGAAAGTAGTTTTAAGTGATACATGGCTGAAGAATGCAAATGAGACACTCAGTACTTGTGTCTGCTTTCCCAAGTCTTGGTCCACAACAGGGGTGGAGAGCCTATGCCCTTGGGACGCCCATAAGCCAACAGTCTCTGGTTCCCTACCCAAGCTTCCCAGCACACTTGACTTCTTTTTCTTGAAATAGGAGAAGTTGGGCTGGCCCTACCAAGCCACAAGGCAAAGCAAGCAGAAAGAGAAGAAAGAGACGAATCCATGCCTGAGTGGTGCAGGGAGACCTTGTCATGGCCATAGCACGGACTGTGTCGCAGGAGGGGATGCTGGGGGTCCATTTGGAGCTCTTCCTCAGCAGAATGTCTTGGCCTGGCACGGAGTAAATACTGCGGTTGCCTTCGTGCTCATGTCAAGATGAAGGATGGGACACCCTGTTTGGATCCACTGCCACTGCCTGTGATGTCAGTGGCTAAAAGGGAGGACATGATAAAGTAATGTTGAATTAAGTTAGTCTTAGGGGAGGCATTTCAATCATTCACAAAGAGGGAAAAAACTGAGCAAAGGCCAGGGTACCATCAAACAATAGATGGTGGGGGAAAGTGCATAGGACCCTCTGAGGGTCACACCGGGATCACCAGAACACCGGATCTGGTCCCTGGGCTTGAGGTTCTGCCCCCTCGCACAAGAAATCCAGTATCCAGGAGTAAGTGTTACCCTTAGCAGTGCTAAGGCAGCATTGAAGAAGAGCCCAGTTCTGGCCTTCGACTTTTTTGTACTTGGAAGAAGATAAAATCAAAGTAAAGCAGCTAGGGAGGTTATAGTTAGCTCCTTATGGGGTGAGGATGTGAGCTGCTTTCATCAATGTGTGGTACAGAGAAGGTATTATAGCAAGAAAGTGTCTGTGTTAGTTGAAGGAAACAGGCCTTCACAAGAATATGCAGGTGAAATGCACCCAAGAAAATCTTGGATAGAAATACACAAGCCATTCTTTCCCGTGCTGGCTTCAGGCATCTCCAATGTCACAAATGTCACTGGTTACAAGAAAGGCAAAGTTAATCTTGTGTTTGCACATGTAAACAAAAGCTTGAACTACCTGGAAAGGGAGAAGCAGATCTGCTGATAGGGAGGCTGCTGCTGGAAAATGTTGCAAGGGCCAGAAAGTACTACGCTGCGACTCTGGAAGTCATTTTAAAGTAAGCAAATCCAAGAGCAGCCCAGAGGGGTTAAGGCTGCTCAGACACCCAAAACTACCCTTTCTACAACAATTGGCTACCAGCACTTCTTGTTCAGACACTGAACACAATCTGCAAGCAGCCTATGCAAGCTTCCCTTCGAAGATTGGAAGACACCCTGGAAACTGAATGAGGAAGCACAACATTTGATTGGCTGCACAGACACAGAGGACTGTAAAGTCCTCAGTTCACTTTCTCTGTCATGGAACAAGAAACACATGCTGCAATACACGTGCCACTTCATGGGCATAGGCATTCTTTCCCCATCTGATGTTTCCGATATTGACTTGTGGGAAACTTTCTGATATCATCAAAAATGCAGCCTGGATTCCCCTTAAACTCCAGAAAACATACACAGAACATTTCTGGTTCATTTGCACAGCACACCAACCCAGCCTGGTAATAAGCTACACTGGCTCGGATCTTCTGTGAGCGACCCATGATGTGCCCAAGAGACCACTGGGCTCACCATGTCTTGTTCACCCCCTTCCTTTCCCTTCAGTCCTCCCACAGGTACCCCAGGGGACACCCCAGAAGGATGGACTTGTCTCCCTGCTCCCTGCCACGATGGTGAGACAACCTGGCCTCGCCTCAGTCTTTTCATCATCTCTGGCTTGGCAGCTGGCTTTTGAGATCCTCCCTTTGACAGCCACTGACAGCCTCCTCAGAGCGGCAAAGCAGCACCTTGCATAGGCTGTGCATGGTTGCAAACATCATCATCACCTTAATGTGTGCCAATATTTTCACACTTGCTTAAACACTGTTATGGTCATTGCTGTTCTTTCGCAAGTGCATATCTGTCTGCGTATGGCTCAGGATTGCATCAGGAAAGTCAGCAAGCCAGTGAAACCTGCCCCTGAGTGCTGCCTAGGCACTTGTGTGTGTGTGTGTGTGTGTGTTGTGGGGGGCGGCGGGGGGATAAGCTTGGGAGACGTTTTTTGCTGCTCTTGCCAAGTGACTTGCTTGTCCCTTCTTTCCCTTCACTCACATTGTAGATGGTTGCCCAGGTTCACACGTCCCATCATCCCATCATGGGTGAAACAACACCTAGAGCATTCTATGGGTTATCCAGATGGCTTATTGCTCTCAAACAAACCATCCTGCAAGAAACAGTCTAGCTGGACAACATGACATTGTCACCTAGGGCGGATTACTGGATCGCGTGAACCTGATCTTTGCTTTATTTCAATTACCGTAACCTAAAATGACATGGAAAGTAGTTTCTTCTTGTTAGGACCCATGGAAGCAATCTGGAGCACATTTCAAACTATTAAAATCAAAATAATGGAACCTTATATACAAGACCACTGGCACAATGCACCAAGCAGTGATTTCTTAGATGCGGCTCCGAAAGATGCAGGGCGGGGAGAGGAGGCGGGTCTACCACCGTGTTGCCACATTTGCCAAAGGATCGCAGGCTCCATTCATCTCAGTGTCTGATGTGTTACTCCCAGATCAGGTATGCAGATGCCCAATGAACAGTGCAATGCTACACGTGCTTAGGAGGTCATCCTGCTGAGATCTGTGCAACTCTGCTCTCAAGCAAACGGAAACAGGATCCAGCCTCTGAGTGAAATCCAGTACTGCATGAATGAAAAGCAGCTCCCACAACAGATCTGCCCCTTCACTTCCTCTTCCCCTGCAGCTCCCCAAAAGGCCTTTCGGGAGACTGACAGCAATTCCTGGCTGTGCCATAAAGGGCTGCAGTGGCAGGGTGGAACTGCCCAACACTGGATGGAAGAATACCGCACACCTCAAGTGAGGTTCTCAGTTTTGCCTATTCCTCCTTCCCTGTAAGACTCAATTGACAATGTTCAGTAGGTCTTTCTGACCCTTTTGGGAGGTGTTTGGAGGGTGCAGGGGGAAGAGAGGAAGAAAACTTTCTACTGTGGAGCACTCTTGAAGTTGGAACAATCCTGGATTTCATATCCTGTTTTCTGGGACCTTCACTTGCGCGCGCGCACGCACACACACACACACACACACACACACGAGTTCTGCCTATGTCCCTCTAACCATAGTCTTTCTTGTTTGGTTGCAGAGCAACATCAACAACATTAATCATGAAGAAGGAAAGTCCATGTAAACCATTGCTATGTCTACAATAGGTTACCTTACTGATCTAAGGCATAGTCAAATTTACCATCACGGTTTTATATACACACAGAATAAGAAAGGTGCATCAGCAAAGCAATCAGTCCCCACCCATCATCACATCTTGGGTAACTCAGGCTTACACAGTGCAGCCATAACAAAATCAGGACCACACTCAGTACTGGTGCTGTTCAAGGTGTCCAGAAGTCTCTTTCAAGCCACTGGGTCTCTACTACAAAATCTAGAAGACAATCCAAACATTACCTTTTCTGCCTCTTCTCGACTCATGGCCAGGGCAAGCTGGAGCTGCAGCTCCTCTTCTCCAGTGGTCTGTGGTCTTGCCTGTTCCAGGTCAGAGTTGAACCGAGGGGATGAGGAAGAAGCTGCAGCACGAGACAGAAAGGAATGACTGTGGCCATGCCCGTGGGATGGAGCTCTCACCTGTGGTCCCACAGCCTTTCTGAATTTGCTAGAAAATGGGTCGAGCCACTGTGGCTCTCGGACCCAATTTCAACAGCCTGTTTGTTGTAAGAGATTAATTCAAACCTCTGGCAAGAGCAGCTTGTCGCCTTTCACACACACACACACACACACACACACACACACACACGCACACACACGATGGAGAAGAGGAGGGAAAGAGAGAGAGCAAAGAATATAGGAGAAAGAGCACGAGGGGGCATCCCCAGCCCGTTCCTGCCTCAGACTGCACCCACTTCTGGCATGCATCCTCCCCAGGGAATGTTGCCCTAGAAGAAAAGAAGATTCTCACCCCACCTTAGGAAAAGATTTTGCGATAATCTTCTGGATCAAGGGGTCTCCTTCTCATTCTTCACCTACCTACTGCTGACTCACCTTTTTATGTTAATTTTAAGAGACACCCCACAGTTTTAAACTACTAGACCAAGTCTTCACATGAAGGTTGGTGGAAAAAAGCAGGAGGAGAGAAAATATTTTGTGCAATTGCATTTTATTTTAAGAACTTCTATCCTCATGTGTTTCCACAGCAACATCTTTCTTTTTGCAGTTCACTAGTCCAGCAAAAGCACGTTGCTGAAGATCCCCGGCGTTCTAGAACCTTGGTCAAGGAACTGAATAAATTATAAGACTCCTGTGCCTGGAGAAGTGCCCTGTGCGGCTTGGTGGTGTGAAATTTCTCCCAAAGATGAGGTGATGGCTATGTTCTCTCACACTCACTTTCCCATGCGATCCTCTGCAGGTTTACTCAGAAAGCGAGTTCCAGTATGTTGAGTGGAGCATGCTCAGGGGCACGTGCCTCGGACTGCAAACCTTAAGACTGCAATGCAGTGCACACTTAGGAGGCTGCAGCAAGCTTACCTCTGGGCAGTGGAGACTGGTGGGCTTCAGTCTGAACTTTATGCCAGAAGGGTTCGGCATGATGGTCAGTTCCTTAAAAGTTCAGGCTGAAGCCCAGAGTGGATACACCACCCACTGAGATTAGAGCCACCAGCATCCACTGCCTGGGAAGAAGCAGCACTGAACACTGTGGGGCCTAAGTAGCCATCCAGCTCAGTAAATTCCAGCTAAGGCCACCCCCCCGCAGCTCAGCAAACTCCAAGAACTCCGAGTTCTCATCAATAACTCTGATTCAAATGACAATTAAAATGCAAATGCTAATTATCCTGGTCTTATTCTTAAACTCACCACAGAGGGAGGGAGGGAGGGAGGGAGGAGCTGATGGCATTAAGTGCTCCAGTCACATGAATTTCCACCTCTGCCCAACTGGCCCCTGGAACATTTGCCACCATTTCACAATTTTAAATATTCTTAAACTGAAGGCACCTGTTTGTAGGGATCAACATGAAACCACTAAGCAGGACTAGGCTGCTGGGTGTCCCAGGGCACCCAGTAGCTCCCTCCCCTCTTGGCCACTTCTCTTGGTACTTGCTGGGGTGTCCTGACCCTCCCACATTCTTTTAAGTAGCCATTTCAATGCCCCGCTTCTGGGGTGGGTCAGAAGCAAGCTGAGGGCCTCCGGCAGCTGCCAGCCTCGTTTCCCACACATGTCCCTGGGCTACACTACAAAGCTCAGAGACTCTCCTGGGAAATGAAGAGGTGGGTGCAGCAGGCCCAAGCCTTGCTCTGCGGGGTGTCCAGCCCCCAAGAAGGAAAGCATGCAAAAGGGATCCTTTATCACTGCTGCCTGGTAAGTTGGGGCGAGCTAAGGAAAGCCATGGCTGGGCAAAGGCAGCAGTACGTCAGTTGGGGAACCCAGGACACCTTCAGGGCAGGACATGGGGAGTGCCCTGGAAACAGGGTTCAGCTGAGTTTTATTTAGTGTTTCGGGGTCCAGACCTCTACCTCACCCTCAGACCTTCCTTGCACTCTGGAGACCAACCACGCCTCCCAATGCCGCCATATTGTGATGGTGCCCAGGACAGTCTCTCAGATGGCCACTGTGCCCAGAGGCCCTGAAAGGTTGCATGCTGCTGGCACAGACTAAAATGGTGTAGACTGAAAAGGCCACTACTCATGTGCAAAGTACGCATTTGGAAAGCTGCAGTCTAATCCCACTTGTCCCACGTGCAGGGGGATGGAGCGGAGGGCCTTCTGGCCCCTTCCGATTCCACTGTTCTCTGCATCTATGACTTAATGGTCTGTCCCTCCCTTGAAGCCAAGGCAGACTTGCTGGTGGGGAATGGTGTGCGTGTTTATCCAATTTAACACAGTTCTCCATGTTACTTTCATGGCAAACCCTCCTTTTAAAGCACTCTGTACTGCACAAATGGAAGAAGCGTGGCTCTCCAGATGGTTGGACGTATAGGCACAATCAGACCTAGCCAGCATCAGCAATGGTGAGGGCTCCTCTGGGCTGTGGACCTCCAGTTGCCTCAGCCTACAAGTTGCCCACCCAGGTGTCAAGTAAGAAATGTCCTTATTACAGCCTTTTAACACAGGACTGACCTTCTTCCACTCCATCCAGTTTCATCCCTTTCCACCCTCACCTTCACCCCTGCCTCTCCCCTTCGTGTTGCATCTTTATGGAAAGAAACTTGAAAACCTGCATGCAAATCGTGCGTACAACTTCGAAAGCAGAGGAAGCTCATTGTTTTCCCACACAGACCCACTTGCACTGCCTCCTCTCCCACCCACCTGCCCCCCATTTGCCACCCCTACTGTTAGCAGGGGTTCTTCCATCTCCTGCCCCTATTCCAGTCACTGGGGGTTGCAGGGAGAGGTGTGGATAAACCCCTGAGCCAAAAACACATTCTGAAAACCCATCATAATGAAAAACATCCCATGTGCTTCCCCCAGCCACAAGATCAAAGGGACCGTGGAACATTAGGAGAGGAGCTCCTCCCTGCCCACCTCCCCCGGGAAGCCGAGGGTGTCCACCACTGGTATCCGGTGTTCATCCAGGCCCCCGGCACAGGTGCGTGCCTGGACCTGTTAGAGAACGGCCCGTGCTGCTACTCACAGTTGAAGGACGACGGGGACCCCCTGGACCTGCTGTACTCCTCGCCGTACTGCGAGGCCCGCCGCCCGTAGGCCAGCTGCTGGCTGTTGCTGCTGCTGATGCCCATGCCCTCCAGGGACATCCGCTCCTTGGTCTTCAGGGCGTAGGCTCGCTCCTGCTTCAGCCTTTCCTCATCCTTCAGCAAGCTCATCACCTGCTTCACCTTCTCCCGAATGTTGATGCCCTGGTCCTTGCCATCGCGGTCTATGTACTGGAATTCCTTTAAGGTCTGGATGGTGTACAAGTTCTCCCGGCACTGATGAGCCACTTTCTCGGAGCCAGTTTTGATGAGGTAGTCCAGAAGAGTCAGCGCCTTGTAGACGTGTCGCCAGTTCTTTCCACTGTCATTCAGCCGCCTCCAGATCATGCCCATGACCTCCGCGAAAGCCACTGTGTTGAAGGTCAGGTCTGCGATCTCAGACATTAGGGAGCTTGGGGGACCCCAGGGGTCATTGGAGGTGGCCTCGCGCACCTTGATTTCTGCCTCTGAATAGTTGTGCACAATGTTTTTGACCTGCCGGCGCAAGGCAGAGGTGGTCATGGCTGAAGCCTGCAGGGGAATTTTGCCTTGCAGAATGAAATGAGGTGCAATGGAGGGAAAACAGACAGGAACCTGGGAGAAGAATCACAGTTCCAGTGCAATCAGTAAAAGGGTGCTAGTTCTTCCACTTGTATATTGATCTAGAAAGCAAGTGACAAGAAATATATTAGGGTTGTTGATCAATTCAAGCATTTCAGCTGCTCCACTGTATCCAGTTTGTCAAAATCCAGTTAGATTTGCTCCCCTGCAGACCCATGGCTTGTTTCTTTCTAGGATTATTCCCGTGGAACAGGGGTGGGCAGGTAACGTGTGGCCCTCCAGATGTTGTTTGACTGAAACCCACATCATCCCTCCTCATTGGCTAGGTTGTCCAAAAACTAGCACCATCAGTGGTCCCAACTTCAGGCTTGCAACTGGCCACTGTAGCTAAGCAGCTAGAAAATCTGATTGCAACCCTGGGAGTTGCAGTCCAAAAACTCTGGAGGGCTCCCACTTAGGGCAAGCTGTTCAGGATTGTCTGTAGATCACAGTCAACACAATTACTGTGGGCCGGGGGTGGGGGGGTCTTATTGTCAGGCTTGCCTGAAAGGGAGACAGTTGCCCTGCTGGTCCAGCAAGACCCATCGAAGCACAGAGGTAGACATCCGTGTGATGCAGGCCACGCAGTTGTGGGTGAGCACCGATGCTCCTCCGAGCCCCTCTGGGTTGACTGGATCCTTGGTTGGCTACAGCGATGCAAATCCACATTTTGTCACTAGGCACCACTAGAGTGTGATGGGAACTGATAGGATTCCCGCTCCAAGTTTTACAGAATGAGGTGACAGGATAGGCATCCAAAATAGCTGATAACCAAGGTTTGGACTACATCCATCACACCCAACTGTTCCGTATCGAATAAGCAGCAGCTTGCTTTTGCTTTCTAAAACCGTCTCAGATATCCAGAATAAAAACTTGTGATTGCATCTCTCCAGTGCAGTTTTTAAAAGAACTTTGCTTCGACCTTGTAAACAAAGAATTGGTATTTAATGTTAGTTAATGAGAGGGGTTTTTCTCTCAAAGGCTCATGATGGGTTACATTTATATGTACACCACAAAAGCAAGAACATCATGCCACACCTTCATATGAACTTCTTGAAATACAATACAATTACAACTGCTATTTTTCAACATTTGTATCACTGTATTTTAATTATAATGAGCCTAAATAATTACGTGACAGAGAAGACTTTTTCAAAAGAAACATTTCCTTGTCAAAGGTCCAGAGTCTTAACTTGACTGTCTGGCATAATTGCAAGAATAAGGAAAGAGATGGAAAGAGGGGCTTGCACTGACCAGGAATACCCCCACCCCCTTCCCATGCTTTGGCCTACAACTCCCATCTGTCCTAGGCAGTATAACAGATTGGGAAGGATGCTGGGAATTGTTGGCCAACCCATCTGCAGAGTCACAACTTGCCCATCCTACACCTTTATTTCTTCAGCACTCTTTCACTCGAGCAGTGCCCTACTTGAGAGATTCATTCCAATTTCATATGGGAACACAAGCCCTCAATTTTCAACCTGACTTCACCTTACCCACCTCTTCTTCTTTCTCTGCTTTGTTGATTTATGAATAGCCATAAATAAAAAAGGCAGCGAAGGCGGGGGAAAGGCTGACTAACCCAGTATATAGAGAAGGCACAATCCTGCACAAACCCACACACAGTTATGCGCCGCACACTGAATTCTCTCTGAAGTCAACTGAGCTTGGAAATAATACTGAAATTCTATGGAAATCTATAGGAAATTTAAGCAAATATCAATTTGATCCAAGTGATAAGGAAGCCTGAATCACTGCCTGTGACTCAGCATTCCTGAGAAACATACATCTATTCCCACCACCCCGCTTTGGTGCCTAGTTCTTATGAGCAGAGTCTAACTCACTCAAGCAGAGGCACAGTCGGTCCTGATTCATCTCAGAGGCCCTGCACAAGGCAGCTAGGGCCACCAGATGGGTCTGCTGGAGACTTTCTATTCCCCCTTCAGAGACACAGCGGACTCCAAAACTGCTGCTGCGGCAGCAGAAAGCGGCGTCATCCTTATTGGAAGAAGATGTTATGCGGGTATGAAGTCAGGGAAGCACACTGCTAGCTCTCCCCAGGTGCATACCTTCTGGAGGGCAAGCAAGTGACAGTTGCGTGAGAAAGGTCCTTTGGAGGAGCATCTCCTCTGGGAGCGGATCTGAGGTTTTCCAGGCGCTGGCAGGAGTAGCACTCCAAACAGCACCAAACTAGGTGTGTGTCACACATTACACACACTGCACCAGAGCAACACTACATTGGGGCCCTTCTGGTAGGTAGGTAGGTAGGTTAGTGCTCTGGTGCTATCTGGAGCACTGCTGCTGCCAAAGTCACCTGCTGGGTTCCCCAGATGGAGATCAGTCTTCAGCAAACCAGGTGCTTTCAAAGTGGAGCCCAGGTAAACATCCATGGTGGCTCATCCTGTTCTGCTGGGACATTGGCAGCTGCCCAAGGATGTCATCTTTTGATGCAAGGCCTGATAACTGGTTGCTGACATTAGTGGAATGCAATGGGCACTATTGGCCATCCACCAGGGATGCTGGCAGTCTTGTAAGAGTTTGACGTTCCTCTCCCGGTCAGCCATCACAGCATGGTGTCTGGACAATGGGTCTCCAGACTGCCAGACAGACAACCCTAGCGATGGGAAGAGGACATGAGCTCGACTAGGTCCACTGCAGGGACAACTTCACACACTGCAAATAGATCTCTGTCAGGCAAAGCTGCACTGAGCATCTCCTCCTCCATTTTGTGGTGGAACCATTTGTCAACCTCCATTTTGTGGCTCCTCGATTAGAGATCAGTGATCTGAGGGAAGCACACAGGTCTTGGGAATCTATCAGGGACTCTTCTATGCCAAGATTGTTAATGAGGGGCAAACTTCGCTGAGATGCAACCCGATGGCCACTGCCAATCTTTTCCTTCATTATACAGACCCAGCACAGCCTGTAGTGTCTTCAAGGTGTATTCTCAGTTGACATGCAGACCAATGCAACTGGATGGCAGACTCCTCAGATTGTGCAGGGGGCCATCAGGGGACAGACTGATGTGGCAATAAGCCCCTGAAAGGAGAAGTATGAACAGAGCTACTCTAGATCTAAGGATGGAGGAGAAATATTTTTGCTTGTGTCTTAAGACGAGTTTACCTAATCTCACACTTTTGAGCCATCACATGACTTGAAGCATAGTTACCCTCTGAAATTTGCACTTCTACACATGTTGTAGTGGAGCTATAAAATGTGTATATTAGAGAATAGAGAAAAATGCATACATTTTCAAAAATAATATATAAATGTATTATGTTAGGAAAAGTATATACCAAAAACATGTATATTAATTCATGACATAACCCTAATCCATCTGGCTCAAACAGACAGACTCAAACCTTATCACTTTGCCTCAAGGAAAAGCAAAATCTCCAATCGGACCTAAGGAAACTTCCTTCCTGGTCGCAGGCAGGTATGGGAACAAATCAGGTCCTCGGCAAGTAAACCAAGCCAAGCAGCTGATTGGTGGCTCCACCTTCTCTTCACTCCTATGATCCATCAGCACAACCTGAATTTGGATGTTGAAGATAATGAGTGTATTCATTGCAGAACCGCATCTTCAGCCACCAAATAGCAAGTGATGTCATCTGACCTCCATCTGTGTGACCTTCTTCTGTATCACTGGCCTTTGAATTCTGCCACCAAAATATGTATTTGAAGAAGTAGTAGTGATTTGTAAAACCTGGTGGTGGAGGTGGTACTGAAAATCTAGAAAATGGACTCAGTTTAACAGAGTTATTTGTGAATAGACTCAAGAAAGCTCCCAAGGATTGTGTCTGGGTAAAGTGTGGATGGACCGATGTACAGTTGAAAGTTTGTTTACCTCCAGAAGATAAACCGCCAGAGGCGATTGCAGGACTCTTCCAGAAATGTCATTACTTCATCCTTTTGTCCTTTACCTTTTTAAATGACTTGGAATTAAACCTCCACTCATTTCCTTCATGACTGGAAAGAGGTGGCCATGAAACACGCACCTGAGAAGAATGTGCAACTCCCCAAACCAGCAAAATGAGTCACAGATCCTAATTCTCTCCAGGGCAACTCCACCCTTTGCAATGAGCATGACCTGGCTATGTACCTCCTTTGCATTTCCAGGGGTGGCATGAGGCCTCCTTCTCCACCCGGTGGCAGGAAGCATCCCTGAGAGTGAGTCAGGGAGACAACCTGGAAACTGCATGAGCATCGCTTGCATAGTTTCTCTAAAGACATTTCCTGTATTGATTTCTTACACAATCCAGCCAGCCCATTTACTGTTTTTGGATCCTAGCAAAGTTATGCACAGAAAAATAGCTGCAGCCAAGCACAGAAATGCATACACAAGGGTCCAGGCGGGTGCATACTTTCATTGTTGTTGCTTTTTAAAAGAGGTTTCTAAAGAACACTTCAGGCAACCTGGGCCAAGCTGACCTTCACCTTCAGCTGACCACTGTTCAGCCTTTCAGATGCGTTTCATCATCATCATCATCATCATCATCATCATCATATCCTGCCTTTTTCTTTTTAAAGAACTCAGAGCAGCTTAAACCATTCTCTTCCTGATGCTTTTCAATCCTATCCTCATAACAACCACCCAGTGAGGCAGGCTGGGCTGAGAGCCTGTGCCTGGCCCAAAGTCCCCCAGTTGGCTCCATGGCCGAGCAGGGACTTGAACCCGGGTCTCCTGAGCCCCAGTCCCGCACTCCTAACCACTGCACCCCACTGGCTCTTTAACCCAGCTTTCCCCAGCCTGGTGCCCTCCAGATGCTTTGCACTTCAGCACCTAACCAGGCCCGGCTATCATGGCCAATGGTCCAAGATGCTAGTCCACCACTTTTGGAGGGCACCAGGTTGGAGAAGGCAGCCCTACAGCTCACTGCCTATGTTCCCCTCCGGGAACATACTGCAGTCCTGCCTAAAGCTATGCTGGTGGAAGCAGTGCTGCAGCTAGGCCAAAAAATCCAAGAAGGGAAGACAGGGGGGCTACCAGGGCAAAAGCACAGACCCCCAGGGGGCAGGCCAGGCTGATGGGTGCGAGGTACAGAGAACAGACCAAGACACACCAGAAAAGGAGGCAACATGGAGAGCGAAAAGGTGGCAGGAAATCGCTGGGCACGAGGTGCACCTACACAGGAAACTGCCTTGCACCCTGTGAAACTATTTGTCCATCTAGCCCAGGATTGCCTCATCCAGCCATGCTCCCTCTAGATGTTTTGCACTATAACTCATGGCATCTCACAGCCAGCCCGATGCCTAGCCCAACCCATCTGGAGGGCACCACGTTGGGGAAGGTTAATCTGCACTGACTGGCAGTGGCTCCAGAGGTCTCCTGTACCCACAGCCGCCTTTGCCTTCCGTTAGCACAGGGAGGCAGCTCTTGGGTCTGGGACAACCTGCATGCAGAGCAGGTGCTCCGCCCCGAAGCTCCCTTCCCTGCCAACAAAGGAACAAAGCACAGCGAGCAGAGCAGCCGGGAGGTCTCCAGTGGGGCGCAAAGGGCTGGGGTAGAATGTGGGTGGGGTGTCTGGACCGTGATGAGCATCATGGAACCAGAAGTCCACTGGGCACCAGCACTGCCCTCTTTTGATGCCAGGTTCAGAGTTTTTTCCGCTCGGTGTCACTTTAGCCATTCTATTTTGGAGACGGCTGGGTTTAGCCAGTTTAAATTTTGGTGTGCTTTATGTTGAAAGTCACCTTGAGTCCTGGTCTTTTTAAGGGATCCAAGAAGATATAACAACAACAATGGGAAAGCAAGGAGGAAGGAAAGTGGGAAGGCAGGGAAGTTTGCTCGGGGAGTGGCTGGCGGGGATGGGAGCAGCAAAAGAGCCCGAGGGACCTTGAAGATGTTGGAGCGGCAACCAGGCTGCAAGCTGAGGAAGGGTCAGAGACAGCTGTGGCCAGCAGGGGCTGGCAAGAGGAGGGCACTGACTGAAGGGAACCCCAGTGGCATGCACAGCCAGCTCTGGGTGACCAAGTGGCCCGTAGCCCAAGGCAGCAAAATGTGTGCCCGCTCCAGAGATTGGCATTCTCCTTCAGGCTTTGACAAGGTTAGGGATAACGTTCTGCTCCCTTAAAACACCTCCCCAACCCCCAGCATCACTGCAGGGGGGCTGAACGTGTGGCCCTTGGGACAGGCAATTCCTTTCTAGGCCCTTCCCCTGCAGGAGGAAGTTGCAGGCAGCAGTGAGTTAATTAAGGCTGTGGAAGACACACGTTTCCAAGTGCCCAGGTGCTCCCTCACCATGTGAAGAAAGAAAACTTCTCGAATGCTGGGAGGCAGGGCCTCGTGTGGCACCGCTCACCTTGCCTAGCTGAATAACCTGTTTTTGATTCACACAGGCCGAGGCATAGCCCTGATCCTGGGCAGTTAGGAGCACTTCTTGTGTCCTTGAGCATGTGCAAAGGGGCCTTGCCCTCAGTCCTCCCTGCACATCCAAGATGTGGTGGCGAAGGATGGGTGGAAGCAGCATTCCCAGGGCAGGGCAGGGCAGGGCAGGGCACCCTCAAGGCCGGCATGAGCCCGAGAGTTTTCACTTCTGCATGGGAGGCGGGGGCAGGAGGAGAGGGAAAAGAGAGAAGAGTGTGTTTGTGTCTGGAGCATTGCCAAGCAGTAAGTTTTTATCGACCCTAATATCCCCAGGAACACAAAGAGAAGGAAACAGAAACTGTGTGGTAGATAAGACAGCGGCACCAGCCAGCCACATATTGAAATTACTGCAGTGACCTTGAAGGAATGAGCTGTCAGGTGGAGAGGGTGCACTGAGGACAAGTCGGAGAGGCAGTTGCCAGCGGCTGGCCAAAGTTCTTGATGTGAACTGACACAGTCCAAAGGAAGAGCTGCCACCTTCCTTTGCAGCAGGGATCCAGGCACTGCTATGTCGTTTCCTTGGCCACTCACTGCCTGCAGCAACCAGGGAGGACATCACTTTTGTATGACTCCATCTCTCTTTAAAAGGGGGGGGGCACAATCTGGAGAATTTCCTGGGGGATTGTGCCCATAATCCATCTTCCCCAGCCTGGTACTCTCTAGATGTTTTGGGCATTGGTGACCATGAGTGCCAGCCAGCATGGTCAATAGCCAGGAATGGGAGTGGTAGTTCAAAGCATCAGAAGGGCAGTGGGTTGGGAGAGGTTGCTATAATCTCTGGGTTAAAACAACACCTTGATTTCATTCATGAGACACCTTTATGCACCACTACCTGGTATCTCCAGGACAAAAGGGAACATCCCTTGTTTCTGACTTGCCCAGCTCTGGCACTAATTTAACAATGGGAGGAAAATATAAATGGAGGAAAGATGGATTACGTGAAATAGGAGAAGACACTAATATCTGCTCCTACTGATCCATTATTAGCTCTGTCTATCCCTTGCTTTCCTTCCTTTTCCCGCCCCTTTGTTGCATCACCTGCTCAGGAGTAGGGGAGTCTAAACACTGTAAGCTCCTCAGGGCAAATGCATTTTTTAATTGCTTGTGCAACTCTATAAAGCACAAGTATTGACAACACTGTAAAATAAGGGTTTGTTGTGGGAAATGTGTGCCCCCCCCAGGTATTGTTGGTCTGCAACTCCCATCATCCCCATCCTCCAGCATGTCTATTGATGAAGGATGATGGGAGGTCACTCCAGCAACATCTAGAAGGGCACATATTTGTCCGCTCCCTGAAGTAAAGGAGGAAAAGAAGCAAGCTAGGTTGCTTGGTCCTCATAGAAAAGAAAAACGGGGCAGCAAATAGACAGGTGGGGTGGAGGGCGGAGGTGATGCAACCCCTAGCAAAGAGCAGCACCCTAAATAAAAGCATCACGGGGGGGGGGGGCAGGTACATGCCATCTGCCCCCAACAGACCTCGCTAACGCTGCCTCCCCAGTGAAATAGCTCTTTGCGCCCAGGCTTGAGTTCCTGAGGAGTTTCCCCATCTGGAACAAACTTCCAGAGATGCTCCCACTCCCAAAACTTCTCCCCGATTTCCTGTTCGTTCCTGTTCTCTCTTACTCTTGAATCTCTTGTTTTGGATCACGCAAAAGGACACTCTCGTGGCTCTTCCCAGAGAATGCACGGCACTAATGCAGCTCTCCGCCTTCTTTAAAAACTACCCCAGAATCGGAGTTGCTACCCTCACCCGCCCCGGCGACCAGGCACCGGCGGCATGAGCGAAGCCGACCACCTTCCGGTGGAAGCAAGGCCAGCGGCGCAGAAGGGTCATCCTAGGCTCCGGGTCTGGGCGAGGGGACGTGCCTCCTTGGATGGGAATGCGGGTCACGGCACTTGCTTTCAAACGCGGGAAGCCCGCGCTGCTGCAGTGGGCGCCCGCATCTCCCCGCGCTGCTTCTGGGCTTTTGACCCACAGCCGTGCCTGCCCTGGCAGAACCCGCGAGCAGCCCCAAGCACTTGATGGCGCGCCGGAGAGAAAACTTGATGGCGCCCCCCCCCCCCGCCCCACTAAACCAGCACTTACCCTCGCCGCTTCTCGCTCCCTGGCGCGCGCCCGCTCGCCCGCCCGCCCCGGAGGCAGCCCGGCTCGGCTCGGCTCGCCGGAGCAGCCGGCATTACATAATCCTGCTGCTGCTGCTGCTGCTGCGCCGCGATCCCGACCTGAGCGAGCGGCGCCGGCAAACGGCAAGGACCGGGCGGCGCGGGGGAGCCCGCGCGTGGGGTTCGGGCGGCAGACACGCGCCCGCCTTCCCGCTCACACGCACACGCGCTCACCTCGGAGGAATCCGGCCGAGTTGGGGCAGCGGCGGCGGCGGCGGCGGCGGCAGGAGCAGCAGCGGCGGCCGCTCCCCGGCAGGGGCGCGATCCATCCAATCGCAACCTCGGCGGCGCGGGGGCGGGGCGGGCGCTGCCGGCTGCGGCTGAGTGACTTTGGCAGGGCCCCGTGGCAGGCAGGTGGCAGGCACCGAGCGGGCAGGGAGGGGAGGGGGGAGGGGAGGAGGGAGGAGGCTGCTGGCCGAGGCCCCGGCACCCGGCAGCAGGGCGCGGGAAGGACGGGTCTGGCACTTGCACGCACCTCGGGGCAGGGTCGCCGCAGCTCTGCCCTCCCTCCGCTCGGCCTCCCTGCGGGTCGGGAAACTTCAGCCGGCGGCGCACTGCGGGCAGCCCGGAGATGGGGGGAGGGGCGGCTTCTCCTGCTCCGCTTTGCCAAAGTAGTGATGACAATCAGAACGGGCTTCACTGCAGGCAGGCGAGCTCCCGGAGTCCAGAACTTTCCTCCACAGCTCTCCCCCCCACCACCACCCCGAGCCTAGCCTCGCTCAGCTCGCCACGGTCTACCTTTCCAGCCGGGCCTCTCCTCGCAGGCTTCTTCGTAATACCTGCAGCTGCGGGCGCCCCCCCTCCTTCTCTGCTGCTCCTTGGAGGGAAGTGATCCTGGACGGCTCAGCTTGTTTCCCCGAGAGATGCTGCGAAGCTCACGCACTACGGGGGGCGGGGGTGAGGAGAGGAGGAGGGCTCTTACCTGGGCCATTCCTGCTGTCTCCTTCTGCTGTCTCAGTGGCAGCTTCCGCAGTCGGCGGCGCAGGCTGCTGGTGCGGGTGGTGCCATTCTCGTAGCCCCTCGGGCTGCAGGCGGCGGCGGCGGCGGCGGCGTTTCCCGCAGCCCGGAGAGGAGGCAGGCGCCGCCGGCTCAGCCCAAGCCCGCGCTCCCGAAATCCATCCAGTCCGAAGGCGAAGTACTACCGTCGCGCCGCTGCTCCTCTGCTCCTCGCCACCACCTCGCAAGCGGATCGGAGCGCAGAGGAGGAGAGGCGACCGCGCCGCCCGGTTGCCCCGCTGCGGTGCGGCTGCGGCTGCTGCTGCGGCGCGTATGCGCGCCTGCGGTGGAGCCTGGGCGGTCGAGGCGGGGAACTTGCCCCTCAGCCGCTCGCGAGAGAAAAAGTTGCCGAGCTCGCCGGGCAGGTCCGCTTCAATGTTAGCAGGGCACCAGAGGACAGCTCTTCGTCGGTTCAGGCCCACCGCGCTGACCGACGTGCCTCCCGGAGCCCTCACTAGGATGCCAGTTGCAGAGAGGGAGATTCACGTAGTAGCCCAGAAGAGATTATGAAAGCAGAGGCCGTGACTCAGTGCGTTAACTCCTTCGGGCACCGAGCGAGCGCGCCGAGGCAGTCGCCGGCAATGAGCGATCGGTGACCAGGCTGGGCGCGGAAGGGTTAAACGGAGAGAACGCAGCTCGTCTGTCACTCACCGCGTCCTTATTTTGGATCGAAGCCACCGAGTTCCGTTGTTTTGCTTTTGCATAGCCAGCACTCGTGCATGCCTCAGGGCGGCAAGTTATTTATCTATTCCCCCCACCCGCGCCGCCCGGGCCCTCTAGTGATGCCTTCCCCAAACTCGTCCCTTCAGCAAGGTTTGGACAGCAGCCCCACGTGGGAACAGAGCCGCGAGCCAGTGAGCAAGCGGATGACATGACAGAATGCTTTTTTCCTCCCATGCTGTCCTCCCTCTCCTCCCCCTCCACGTTGCTGCCGCCCAGCCCCACTCGCCCAGCCAATGCCGCTCGGTACGATAGTGGAATCGGCAACAGATTCTACGCACACACCCCACACACGGAGTTTATATTTGATAGCCCTGCTGTTCTTCAGAATAAAAATACACCTCCTTCTGTGCTGGAAGGGAACTGAGAACTGGCTCCCACTAACCACCCACCCATCTACTGTGTAAAATCAGCAGGTGCTGAGAAAGCTCCTGTGTTCACTGCCAGAAAAGTGCACGAGGCTTCTCTGCAAGGAGCTCATGCAGACGGGACGTGTCACAGCGCAGCCCTGCGATGCCCGAAGGACCCGCAGCCCGGCTTTTGCAGACAGAAGGCAACAGGTTAAGTTTGGTTACCGTCCTATCCTGACTTTTCCTCCAAGTAACCCACGCCAGTGCACATGATCATCTTTCTCTCCATTTTATCTTCCCAACAACGCTGTAGCTGCTCCCTACTGGTCAAACTCAAATACTGTGCTCAGTGCTGGACACTGCAGTTTCCGATGCAACGGAAGGATCAGGAAACTATGTGCTAAGAGACTGAAGTATGTCTAGCCTTGAGGAAAAACTTCTGGATGTGTGGCATGTTTCAAGTATCCAAAGGGTTGCCACACAGAAGAGGGCCACAGTCTGTCTGTTCTTAAGTTATAAGAAGGCAGATTTCAGCTGAACAGCGGGGAAAACTTCCCAACAACCAGAACAGCCGGGCAACTGCCCAGGGGTCTGAGGGGCTCTGCATCACTGGAGGTATTCAAGCAGAGACTGGGCAGGGATGCTTCAGACTGGATTCCTGCACTGAGCAGAGGTTGGGCTTGTTGCCTAAACAGCTCCTTCCAACATTGTTTTCTGATCTCAGTTAAGTTAGGCTGTGTATCAGGGGCTGGCTCAACATCATACCATGAGCTTCATGGCTGAATGGAGACTTTAACATGGATCTCCTCCATCCCAGCCACATACTCTGGTCTCCCTCATACCACAGCAGCTCTCAGCTGCTGATTCTCTCTTATGGAAAGCACCAAATAGCAAGTGACCTTTCAGTGGAGAGGGTCTACCCATCTAAGCAGAGAATACTAGGTGGACTAAACAAACAAATATCCAGTTCATCCGATATAGCTCAATGCAGTAAGGTGAGTCAGCCACTTCAGGAACTGGGATTTGAACACCATTACAAGTTACAGAGTAACTTTCACAGTCCTCAAGGGCACAGGGATGTCGTCCTGTACAAGACGACGGAGATCTTTTCTGCTTCTCTTCCTCTAGCCAGAAGGGCTGGCCCTGCTAGAGGGAAGTGGTTTGTGTTTTTCTTCCCCTAATCATGCCTGCAGTGCTACAAACTGGCAAAGGACGGAATGCCCCTAAGTGGATGGCTAGAAATGTGGGATGTGACACAGAAGGCTCGACGGTGCAAATAAAGCTCTCTGCGGTTCCAGGATTTATTTGAAGGAGGATAAGAAATGACAGCTTTCCTTGAAGGAGGCCGCTCTTTTATGATTCCTGCTCATCCATGAAGAAAGATTCAAATAAAATTGGTTAAAGCAATCATAAAAACAAACAGATCCAAAAATACAATAGAAAAATAAAAAACAGCATCCAACTCATTGGAACCCACTTTGGCAACAGACCAGTTTGCATTTCAAAGTACTGCAACGAGGAAGCCAAGCAAGTAGCCCTTGGCAGGGAGTTCCAGAGCTTGGAAGTATCAGAAGTGAACTCGGACATAGACTCTCGCTGATGCAAATCATACAGCCAACATGGAGTGGCAGGCTTTCGGACAGGTTGTTCAGCCAGCCCTGCCTTCAGGAGCGGGGGATGGAATCTGGCCCCTTCTTCATGCAAAGCAGGTGTTCTGCCAGTAAGCCACGGCCCTGCAAGGTTTGCAAGTGGGCATATACTACATTTCAGCTGATCTCAGGTAGTGTAAGTAAGGGTTCCCAGGAGCCTAGTTCCTTTCCAGGCACTTAGCAGAGCCAGGCCTGGCTTTGGTGCTGCATCAAGTGCCTTCAGCCCATAGCACTGGCATCCATATGCAGAACTCTTTTTGCTCCATTTTTCTGATTCCTCATCAGAGTTGCTTCCTTTTGCCCCTCCAGCTGGCAGTGTATTTTTAACAGGCCATATTTTCAGCTAACGTTTGAGGGGCCATTTAGCACTAGCTGTGCCCATTAATTCATTTGCAAGCCAGCCAAGACACTTGCAAATAGCTCTTTGTCCCCATCTTCCCCTAGGGCCTAGGCTGTCAGCCGGCCGGCCTAAGCTGACAGAAGGTACTCCGTGAAACTGAGGCCATCTGGGTGCCAGTGTGGTATAGTAGCTAAGAGTGGGGGACTGGGACTCAGAAGATCCGGGTTCTAGTCCCCACTCAGCCTGAAGACTTTGGTCCTATCACAGCCTCTCAGCCTAACCTACCTCACAGGATTCAACAGAGCCACCAGCCACATCAGCAGGGAAACCCCCAAGGACCCTCTGGAACCTTCAGGGACAGAGCATCTTAATCAGGCTTCCACCCTTCCAGAGGGGAAAAGTGGCTGTTGGTCTCTCAGCAGGCAATGATCTGACAATGACAAAGGAACTGATACAAAGCCCTCCACCATCAGATCATTAACTCCATGCCCGCCTGAAAAAAACCCGGTGTGTGTCCTACTGCATGTGCTGGGCCTGTGACATGATGGGACCGTCCCATGCTTGCCATGGAATCCTGAGTTACTGCAGATAAGGTGGCCTCAGTTCAGATGTTAACGTCCCCCAAGTCCAAGAGTCCAAGAACTCCAGCATCACAACCAAGACCACCACTGTCAGCTCAAGTAGGGAATCTGTTGAGCAGCAGGGTGGGCAGTACATCAACAGAAGCCCGAATCTGTCCTGCTGGTCCAACACCAGATGCAAACACTCCAGACTAGGAGTCAGACAGACGGGGAGCCTGGAGGGAGGGAGAGAATTCCTCCAGACCACAGCAACTACCCCTCCCTGGTCCTCAGGTCTTCCTTGATGCTGAATCAAGCACCTCAGTGGCCATACCTAGGAGAGACTAACTCCTCCCCATCTGCCCACCCAGGTCTTGCTGATACACGCCAGTTGAGCTGCTGTTTCACTACTGAGTCAGAGGTAAGGAAGTCTTGCTCTGGACTCAACAGTCATTTGGAAGCAGCATCCAGAGACCTGAGGACACCTGATAAGGCACACCATTTCTCATCTTGGAAGACAGTGGATAATATGCTTCATAGTGTTGGGCAGGCCGGCCACAGGTTTTCTGTGCTGGGGACCAGACAGAAGGCCCTTGGGGGCTTGATTTACCCCCAGGCTTCCAGCTGCTACCCTTCCTTAACACTCACCAAAAGAGGAGTGATGAAATTGGCTAACCCTCACAAGAAACAAATTTTAGTCTAGTTCATTTCACTATAAATGGAAGATTTGGCTACCCAGAGAGCATGATGCTAATGGGTGGTTTTAATCAAATCGAATGAATGAATGAATGAATGTTCTGGAGAGGGGGCATACACAGTTTTAAAAAATCTGAAACTTGCTGTGCTGTAACTAATAGCCTGGTACAATTTTTTATTTGATTGTTTTTGTGATTTTCAGAGAATTACATGGGAACTCATGTAGAGGCAATCAAACACACCTATTTTATAGCGGTATCAAATCAGTCCTGGATACTTACACAGAAGCGACATTGCACTCCATAGGGCATACTACCCCCTTGGAAGTATGCTGCAAACTACAGTTTTATATGTCTGTATAGGCTGTTGTGGGTTTATGGGTTGTGGAAGGGTTGCCCATCATCACCAATGTTCTCAGTCCCTCCCCCATACATACCTTCAGCAGACATATACACATCTCTCACAGAATGGCTGGATGGGAACTAGTTCAGGCTTTTGTCTGAAATGTTGCAAAGCTGATTTGATGGCAGACTGTGATGGGAAGTGGAGAATTTTCACCACAAGCAATCTCAATTGAGTAATACCACTTCCAAGCCTCTGAAAAGTTAGGGTCAGTAAACACTACACAGAAGGAGCTCTACAAGCACTGGCATTTCTAGTTTAGTGCTCTGTAACGCAGGTGGAAGAAAGCCACCAAGATCTCTTTTAACCAACAGATTGATGACCAATCCCAGTGAAACATAAATCCGGCAGCAATGGGTCCAGCCCTGTAGTGGTTACGGCACAGAGCTAGGCATGTGGTGGAAAGCCATGCATTATCGCACACAGCAATAACAGCAACACCTTGGCAGCACTGCTGATGACTGCCCTTCATCACACACCTAAACAATCTCAGCTGTGTTGTACAGCAGGAAAAAAAGGTACAGGCCAGATATATACATGGGTGCAGGCTGGGAGCTAATTGTACAGGCTAGCCCCCATCTGCTTATCAATTGCCAGTTCCACAAGCAAAAGAATACTGCTCTGACTTGGTTTATATAAATACAGCTTTTTATTTCATTATGAAATCAGTACTAATTAAACAAAAGCTACTATATTCTTCTTCTCTGGAGCATCCTTCTTCAGCCCCTCAAAGAGGAAAACCATTTTGTCCACCATTGAATTCAGCAATCCATACACCTAAAAGCAGGAGTCAATTTAAAGAAGCTTTCAGAACAAAAACTGAACATCAACTTCTCAGTATTTTATTTTTATTTTATATATATGAATAAATCTTCTGCTCTCTTAAGATCAAGTAAACCAGATGCCCCAGACTGCAACCATTTTTCATTCTCAGTCAGCCTGGCCAATGGTTGGGAATAGCCAATGACCATGTGAGCTGGGAATGCTAAAAGTTTCAGTCCAATCCATCCGGAGGGCACCAGCTTGAGAAAGGCTAAAGTAAGCCTAGGTATTTCTCCAGATCTTTTCAGCATCCCATAACAAGCATTGTCTGGGCAGAGGTGGTAGCAAATTTGTTGTACAGACTAAACACTTAAACTTAATCTGCTTTAGACATGGTGATGGGGGAAAGTTTGCTGTGTTGTGGCTACAGCAGAAAGCTACACCTGCAAGAATGGATGAGCCATGTAAATCTGCTCCCATTGCTGGGCCAAGCAGCCTCCTTTAAGCCCACAAAATGGCATGCAAACAGGCCAGGAGGGATCTCATGCCCATCCCATGCAAATGCTCTTCCAGTGTCAATCGTCCTGAGGTTGGGATCTTAAGGTCCAGTGACATGTGCTTCAGCAGCAAAACACTGGCCTGTATGAGAAGGCATTTCAACTTTCAAACCATAACAAAAATAAAACAATCTGATCCATTTTTACTCTGGAACGAATTCTGCTGAGGTCATGTAAGTGTGTATGGGACTTGCAGGTTTTATATACTTTGTAGAATCTATACCTTAAAAGCCTTTCAGAGAAAACATGACTACACCTATTTAATTCAAATTTTTGGTAGCTCTGAAGCAGACATTTTCATGGATCATTTGTTTGTTAGCTGACAAGGGCTCTGGGGAACCTGGGCCTACACAAGTTCCCTGTGGCAGTGCAAGCAAAGCTGAACGGTGCTTAAAGGATAAAAACGTTTCCACTGCAATCACCATCATCCTTTTTTGTCTCTCTACAATGCTGCTACTGAGCCCCTTCATCTGAGGTGACTGAGATACCTTTGAAAACCACTTTACTTCATTACCATGGTAGTCAAGGAGCCTATAATCAAACACATGTATATTAACTGGGCACACCATGATAGTGAAATGATCATCTTTGTTTTTAGTGAGCAGAGAAAAGACTGACATGACAACCAACGGGAATAACTGCTTTGCATCATGCTAGTGAAAAGGAGGGCTGTGCATTTAGAGATGCAGTGAAAGAGACATGTAAATGTAAGCATTTCCCAAAACTGCTCACAGCACTCCATAGGTTGTAGGCCCAGGCTCATCAAGCAGAACGCTCCCTAGCGTGACCTGCCAGCTGAAGAAGAGGCAACCAGGACGCCCCGGAACCCTTACGTGAGGGAGACTGGTGATAGGATAGTTTGTCTGCTAGAAGGCATGCCAGGGCCTGGGCTACCTTCCATAATGCAGCCAATCAAGTGCCAGCACAGCCACCCATTCTAACAAAGATCAGGGGTATGAAGCAAAGCAAATTTGGCTACAATCCTGCAATATGTTTTCCTGGAGGATCTCCCTTTGAGCTCCACAAGACTTAGTTTTGACATACAAATGATTGCATAGAGATGTTTTAACTTTCTTTGCTTTTCCCCCTCTTAACTTATTCCTTTTAACATGATGTGGTTCTGGCTGAGATTATTCTGAGTCCACCTACACAGCCTTACTGTCTAGCCCAGGCATGTGGAATTTGTGGCCTTCTATATATTGATGAACTATAAATCCTATTTTCCCTGGCCAAGTTGGTTGGGGTTGATGGGAGTTGGCAAGTCTACAACATTTGGAGGTACCAGGCTCCCCGTGCTTGATCTAGTCCTGTGTTATTAACAGAATGAAAGTAATTATCACTCAAGTCTCTGAGGGGTCCCAATCTGCCCGAGAAACACAGCAAAGAAGAGATTGCCCAGAGTTCATCAAGACTCAGGGACTGACTGAGACAGACTCTGTTTCCCTCATGTTTGGCTTCTCTATTATGGCAAAATAAAAACTTGCTAGGGTGGTCTGGGACTAAAAACACACATACCACAACTGATGGAAGCAGGGCCGTCTTAACGCATGGGCCTGATGGGCACTTGCCTGTGAGCCCCATACTAATCTGTGTATGTTAACCCTTGGAAAATTGGAAAACTTCCAAAATTAACAGTAGTTGTAGTTGTCGTAGGGGCCCCAGTACACTGCTTTGCCCGGGGCCCACAATGCTGTTAAGACGGCCCTGGATGGAAGCAGTTAAACCATTTGAAGGGTTCCTCCGGGCTTGGAGAAGGTACCCATGTAAGAAGTGATACAGGAAGGACTCATTCCAGAGAAGTAACTTCAGTCTTAGGAGTCCAGATTAAACTGACATTGACATCTCACAGTGGGCAGAATGATACATAAACCATCTTATGCTACGTGGATGGATTCAACATGGAAGCAGGATGTTCCATCTTGGAAACATTCATTCAGAAGGGTTTGTGATTTTAGCTTCAGAACTGCAGTCAACATGATAAGCAAACAGACAAGGATAACAGTTCTGAACAGACTTACTTCAACATAAAGTTTCTCATGGTATTTTTCCTGCAAAATTGGATCCACTTGCTCTTGCTGAAGTTCTTGGGGTTCTATTTCTATAACTTCTACTGAAACAAGTGTTGCTTCCTTTGACTCCTTTGCAATACTTCTTGTTTTTCTGTCTTCTTTCAATTTGCTTTTCTTGCTGTTCGGGCGTTCCTGCTGAGAAAGATGCAAGTATGTGAAAGAGAGATGACAGTCAGCTAAGTACCCTAGTACATATATCATGCACATAGCATTGCAATTATGTCATAGCAAGTAACATTTGTGAAGGCAACAGGCTCTCCAGCAAAGAGTCAGGGCAGTTCAGAAACCCTTAAAATGCATCCTATTAATACTTTATCTAAGCAAGTCCTCCATTTCCTAAGATTTGTCTTGAAGAGCCCAGTTACATACCTCTTTCACTGCCTTCCCTTTTTCTTTTTCCCTCGGAGCAGTCTTCTTTTCTTCTTTCTGAACTTTCCGGTCCTCTTTCCCTTGCTTTACAACAACTGGTTTTACTTCAACTGCACAGAAAACATAGCCATTCATCTGAATTCTGTTCAATCTATGGTAAAGAACTGCCCATTCTTTCCCTGTCTGGCCAGTAAAGCCATCTTTTGACTGGTAGGCAGCACTCAGCTGGAAAAAGGCCAGAAAAACTTGAGATACCATTTAAAAAGGCTATTTTCTAATGACTTGGTATCTCGATGAGTCAGGCTCTGCCCCGACCTCCCTAGCTTCTTCCAAGCCCCAAACACTCCAGAGAGACAAGGTCTGCTGAGATGACAGGCTACCTGTTTCCTCTGGGATAACCTCGACGTGAGTGTCCTTCTCGGGCATGCCAAGCAGTGATCTGAGCCCTAGTGAGCGGCTCACCAAACCATCTATGACTTCACGCCACAGCTGAAAACTGTCATGCAAAACAAAACTGGTTTTATTTCTGGATGGAAAGGAATGGAGAAATATGCAACCAGAATTTTGCTATCTGCCTTTTTAACCATATTCTTTTTCTCCATAAACAAAGGAAGACTAAAACTAACAGAAGCCTTTCCTGCTTCAAGTAAATCTAGCAAAGCTAATCTCCAAGGCAGTATTTCCCACGTTTCCAATGTCTGTGACGCTGTTTTTTAAAATTAGATTGAATTAAAATGGGAGGCAAATTGTACTTTGACACATGAGTAGGATTACTTTTAGAGTGCCAGAATCCCTCACCCCATCCCTCCAGAAGCATTTAATTCCTTCATACACAAGGGGAAAAGATAACAATATTATATACAGACATCCCAAGCAAGGGGTCTGACTATCCCCAGCCTGAACTCATAAAGCATGCTTTTTATGTTCATGGTAAGAAATACACGGGACTTGGGTCCCTATGGAGCTCCCTGTTTTAATGATCTGGGCCCTGCCTTTTTAATCAGAATTACTTGCCCTTATTGGAGCCTGCTCCCTCTCTCTCTCTGAGTCACAGTGAGACAAGTCCAGAGCAGAGACTCACACAGATGCAACGAACAGCTTCCTCTGGGTGGTGGCAATTAGATGCATCTCCACAGGAGCAGGAGTGGAAGAAACAGCACATTGCCACCATCCTCACTTCTTTATACTTCTCCTATTCCGCTATTTTAATGACATTTTTGTGCCTTGCCAGCTGAAGAGCACGATAAAAGCACTTCGCCTAGCAATTCTCCCTTGGTACACCCACATTCTGTGAACGGCTGTTCCTCAGTGCTCAGCTCATATGCAGAAAGGGTGCTTGTGTGGGAGTGTGTATGTCGGGGGGCGTTAATGAAATCTAGACACCCCACACACACCTCTTCCTAATGTTGGCTAAATCAATATTACTCAAATGGTGCCTTCCCTTTATCTTTCCAGCAACAATAGCTAACAGTGCGATTCTATACATGTTTAGCCAGCAAGCAGTCCAGGAACTCCCAGCATGCCTCAGCCCGCCAGCAATACTGGCTGGGGCACGCCGAGTGGCGCTGGACCATTTTCTATCTAAACAAGTATAGCTCTTCACCCTAACAGGGCCAGCACAAGAAGGGGCTAGGCTCCTTTTCCCACGCTCCCCTGCAAATTACCATACACAAGAACATCCACTTTTATTTCAGGCTAATCAACCTTACTTGGTTTTTTAAGATCCCTGCACATTTTAAAACTAATTACTGATGTAAATCCATCACTCCTGCTCCCCAGACTGAGTCAATATTTCATACTGTACTCCCCCATGCATGCATCCATCTGCAGGAAGCCTCTGCCCCAGACCTGACCTGCAGTGGGCTTGATTTAGAGAGTGTGCTACTGATGTCACCCACTGGCCAGGTAAGGTGCTTGCTGGTCCTACACTAGTTTTACTCTGTTGCTTGAATTTATTAAAGGTTTTTATAAAATATTCCTTTCCTTTCTTGCATCTTACGGTTTTAAGTCTTGTTTTGTGAGTGAGTCTGAGAGCTTCAGTGGCTGGACAAACCAGAACGATAAGAAATAAGTCCCATCAACCACACACCAGATCTGGTACTGGAGGTCAGCCTGAGGTATCATTGGCTTGGCACAAAGCTCCAATGCCGCTTTATTGAGCTGGGCCAGGGCAGCTTCTCGTTCATCTTCCTCAGGAACTGTCAGCACCGTCTGAGAGAGAAATCACACACAAAAGCACCTCCTTTTCCCACTTTAGACCTTCCAACATTCCTGGCTGTCCGTGGCCAGTACAATCTCACCATGGCTTATACAGGCAATATGGGCAACATGGCCTCCCTCCTCACTGCAACCTACAAAATTAGTAAAATTAGGCAGCCTTAGATACTCCCTGCTCCTAGCATCCCTTTACTCTTCTTGCCATGGGGAGAACTGAATGTCTTCAGCAAGAACTAACTATGCATTTACTCAACACTTGCCTCCTCCTATGGCACCCACTCCAAAGCCCGCATCCATGTCTCAAAGATGGTGCATGTAAAAATATGCATTTGCATTTCCAGGCCAGATGTGCATTTTTGGGTCTGGTAGGTGATTCTCTTGAACATGTCATGAGTGCAGCCGGCTAGAGTCGGGGGTCAGACTAGGTGGCCCGGGAGGCCCCTTCTGACATGCTCTGTTTCTGTTTCTAACTCAGTTTGTACATATGCAAGCATCTCAAGCCAGTGTGTTTACACCTATGTATTCCAGGGGCTCAGTCACAAACATGAGCCTAGTATTTGCCTTTTAATCCAGCTGCTGCACCAACAGGAACTTCTGGGTATGTTGCTAAGAGGACAAAGGAACGCTCCAAAGGCTAGGAACACAACGGAACACTGGACACACACCTGTTTAAAATCACAAATGGAAAGATTCCACTCCACCCGGATCATGTCCTCCACTTGGGTCACCACCTCCACCTCTATGCTGCTTGGCTGGACAGTCAGCTCCTCTAACACAGACTTTCTTTCTCCTGAAACAGTTGAGTATGCATTCTTAGTATCCTCAGGACTTTTCGGCAAGTCTGCAACACTCTTTGCCGGAGAGGAGTCGCTGCCAGTGCTCTTCATCAGTCCCTCGAAGGCATATGACTCCGTCACTGGAGCAGGATTCATGAGTCTGTTCCACAGCTCATGCAGCCCCCTGACCACCTGGTGATGGTAGTGCAACTGCAACAAAGGGAGATAAGAAGGGGTGGCAAAGAAGACTTAGATGCACAATGAGAAATCGGCAAATGAACAGTTTCTGATAGTTCCACAAAATCTGTGGAACTATCTTTTACATCTGTGATGGAGAAAGCCCCTTTTGGGTAAGTACCTACCCAAACATAAAAATGGACCCCAGAGGAACATGCTGGGTAAGTCTCTTAAAGGAAATAGCAAGGAGGACAGAGAGACTCAAAAGCTGTTGCCTCCTCAAGCTCAGAGCATTTCCTCTTCGCTAGCCTGACGAGGCAACAGAACCGCAGAGGTTCCACTGAAGAATGTCCCTGTCTTGCCAGACGACGGTTCCTTTCCTGTGCCCATTTGCTTCTAGAACTCAATCATGTGGTGCACATGAAAACTGACTTCCCCTTTGCCTGCCCCCACATCTCTAAGTGACGCTGAGACTGATGAAGCCTGCACAAAGGATTCGGTCCCACTGAGCGTGGCGAGCGTGGCAGGAGCGCCCAAACAAAAGTCTGCCTCTGCGAGTACCTTTGAAAAAACAGGAATTTTGGCCCAAGGGGAGAGGGCTACAAGTCACCCATCTCGGGGAAATGCTGCCACTCATAGCTCCAATTCAGCCATGATTACATAAATATTGATTTGTGCAGTGCTGTCCGTAGCTCACTACTCCTGAATAAACATGCTTAGGCTGGCACTGCTAGTCTAGTAACTTTCAGAGTCTGCAGCCATAGCTCAACAAATTTCCATCGGTGCTGAGCCAGAATTGAGGAGTCAAAAATAGTTGTATTCTTTTCCAAGCTGTACCATTTTTCTCAGTAATAAATACACTTTTTTGGTTTAAATGTCCTACACTGGTGTGGTCCTACATTCTCAGTAATAACCTGATGCATGTAGATGCTCCAGTAATGTCGCTGGTACTGGTTTGCCTCCATTCGGCATTAGTTAGACCCCAGTTAAAGTACCGTGCCCACTTCTGGGCACCACACTTCAAGAAGGATGTAGACAAGCTGGAGGGGGTTCAGAGGAGAGTGACAAGGACGATCAGGGCTCTGGAAAGAAAGCCCCGTGAGGAGAGATTGAAAGAACTGGGCATGTCTAGCCTGGAGAAGAGATATGATAGCACTTTCCAAATGCTTGAAGGGGTACTGAGATTTCTTCTCAGTCATCCCAGAGTGTAAAACAGAATGGGCTTAAGTTAGAGGAAGCCAGATCCCAGCTGGACATCAGGAAAGACTTCCTGACTGTTAGAGCAGTACAGTAATGGAACCAATTAGCTGAGGAGCTCATGGGCTCTCCCACACTTGAGGCATTCAAGAGGCAGCTGGACAATCATCTGGCAGGGATGCTTTAACTTGGAGTCTGCATTCAGCAGGGGGTTGGACTTGATGGCCTTATGGACCCCTTCCAACTCTACTCTTCTATGATTCTATGTGGCAGATATGAATGTGAATTCCAAAATGGCAGCAGTGACACATTCTGGGCCCATAAGACCCAAGAGTACTCCATTCCAAAGGACAAATGGTACCTCTGGATTCTTTCTGTAGAATAACTCTTCCTCTGTGACATACGCATCCAGAGGAGACCGTACTCGCTCTGGTGTATGGATTCGATTAAGCAAGTCCTTCAGATTCTCTTCCACTATGAAAGCAATTTCCTGATCTTCTAGCTCTCTCTGCAAGTCCAAGGAAACTGAATGTGAGGTTTGGTATCTGCATTCTTATACGAACGTCAGGTAGTGCACAATCCTGCTACTTTCCTCTGAAGAGGACCACCTGGAGACCAATTTACAACTTCCTGTTTGGGTCACCAAACGGATTTCCCTCCCCTGTTTTCCTTTCCACACCTCCCACTAGCTTTTGTTTGTTTGTTTTCTGATCTGTCAACATGAGGGCAGAGCCTGTATCATATTCTCTGGTCGATGTGAACCACTTTGGAAGACAATGAGCAGGGTTGCATGTCAGGCTTCCTGGGCTGTTCACAACTGCACATTAAAAATAACACTATATTAAAACATTTTAACATATGATAAAAAGTTTACAGTACAAAATTTAAACCCAAATTTAAAACAGATATATGTGTTGTGTGTGTATACATATCTCATAACTTGAAAAAAATCTTAAAACCTGTTTAACCACTAGCAGGGCCCAGAAGACTACTTGAATGCCCTGCAATAGAGGATGGTTTTGTTTATTTTGGAAGCATCATTGTCTTTTTGAAAATTAGTGCCTGAAAATTGTGCAACCATATTGATAATTTTAAAAGTTATTATTGTCAATTTTGCCAATTTTGCCACTATGTATATGCTCTTATAGTTATGACTGTCAGACCTAAACAGTCTTGCCTAGTCAATTTTCTTGTTTGTTTCAGCTGTCAAAGGAAGCAGTGAAGTGGAGAAGATAGACTACATATAGCCTAATTTGTTCACAGCTGCCAGGGACCAAATGTCAAGTTATCAACTAAAAAGCAGCCGTAAAAGAGAAAAAGGCAGCTAAAGTTGGTACATGAAAAAATCCTGAGATACACCTCCAACTTTAGCAAAGTAACCCACCCAATTTTAAGTGCAGAGCTGACAATTTTCAATGTCCTCCACCTTTGCAACACTCCAACCCCACCTCCACACACACACTTTTTTGTGGTTCTTTTTCTGATTCTCTAACAGTTCTAAAAATGAGGCAGAAATATATGCAAATGTAATGGCTTGGAAGTAGGAAAGGAAAGGCGTCTCTGTGGATTTTACTCCGCTAGCTGAAAAGGCTACCGGGGGTGGCACTCATCTCCATTTCAGACCATGAGCCAGCGCTGCCTGAGGATGTTCCCATGGTAGTGTGGCCAGCATGATGTCATGGGGAGCTGTTTCCTCCCCACTGAAGTGCTACCTATTTATTCACTCACATCATGGAAGTGGATGGTGGACTATGAACAGAAAGGCATTTTCTCATTTTTTCTGTTGCATTCAAGGAAATGTTTGCATCACACACAAACCTTCATTTTCAGAGCCACATGGAGTTCCACTCTACCCCGTCACTCATTTAAAGCATGAAGCTCACAGTTGCCTGCTCCAGCTGTTTTATTACCTCCAGCTCTTTCCTTATCTTAGCTGAGATATCTTCATACAGAGCAACTCCCCACAGGGTCACTTGCAAGGCAGCACCTCCTAATAACATAGGGTGGGTACCAAACTCCCAGGACTCCCGGAAGATGCCTGCATTCAATGACTTGAAGATAAAGGAAAACCTCCTGGTTTCTCCAGGTAGAATAACTCCTAAGGGAGACAGAAGGAACATACTGGGAAAGGATGTTGTCGTTTCCCCCAGCAGAACTCCTCCAGGGGCAACTTCAAATGTTGAAACAATTTTTCTTAACTTATTATTTTAGTTTTATTTCCAGGTGAAGGTGAAAGTGAAGGTGAAGGAGACGTCCTTGGCTTTTGCAAGACTGCAACATGGGCTGCAATACATATGGTTTGCACTGTGTCCATCATGAAGAAGCATGTGTGATGAACATACCACACTAACTACATGTAGGGCTTGCCTTTTTTAAAACCGGGTCTACCAATCAAAGGCAGGTGCAACAGACAGGCACTTGAAATTCAAGAACAGGCCCCTTACAGACACATTCTGAGCCTAGGAATTTGTCTTCAGTCCTAAATCTGAACTGAGCTCACGGTTCTTCTTGGTTCTCCCAAGTATTCTGCACTTCAGCTTAATCTGGGAGCAAATTCCATTTTGTTGTTGCTAATACGGAATGTTTGGGCATCAAATGCCCTTGCCAGTCTACTGGAAATTACCCCAGAATATGCCAACAGATCCTGATCTAACTCCTGGCATAACTCGAGGCCCTGGCACAGAGGCAGGCCTTGCTCTGAGGTGGGCAAGGGGGAACTGTTGCCCTCCAGAAGGCAACTTATTTTTATTTATTTATTTTTACATCTGCTGTTTGTGTAAGTTGCCTGCTGGGTCGTGACTGCCCTGCCCCCAGCAGGGCCAGGCGTGCATAGAGGATACAGCAAGCATGCATTTGTCCCCAGGTAATGCGTGGTGCAGCCCAAGGAAGAACGGAAGGAATGCACTGATTTCCTTTTGCCGGCATGCTCCACGTATCTTCCCCCTTCAGGGCCCATCTCCCCATTAGTTCTGTCTCATTCACGGCGGTTATTGTGGGAGATTTTGTTGATTTCAGAAGCATCTCTTTTTCAGTGAGCAATGGCCTGACTTTTGGAAAAACACATCATCTTGACACTCTACTCCAGACAGTATCTTAAGCATTTGGTTGAAACACAGCAGGACAGGTCTACTATTACTGACAGCTCTTTTTTATTTATCCCCCAGTACTGTATTGCCTGGACTCCTGATAAAAGAACTGCAATAAGGAAGGAGCTGATCCATGTCACTGAGCAGGATTGCCTAAGATTATTTGGGAAGTGCTGGGAGGGCATGAAAGTGCTAAGTGTACATTCACGGTTGGATCCTTTATATTCCATTCAGTTTCCTAAGCAGGTTCTCCTTCTTGGGCATATCTGGTATTTACATGAAGCAATCAGGACTGACTTTTAAAAAAATGCACCACACACCTGATCTGGTGTTAAAGTAAAAATGCGGTGTCCTTTTCTCCTTTTTCTCTTGAAATGTAAAGGGATGAGGTAGCCTCCGCCAATCATACCAGATGGCAGCTGTGCCATCATTGTTCACTGTGAGGACAGATTCGGCTTTCTCACCTACCAGAATTTCAAAGGTGACACGGGCAGCAATGCCAACCTCACCCTGTAAGAATAAAAGACAACAAAATACAAGTGTGCAATGGCAAATCTTTGCCTTGACCCTGGGAGAAAGGATAGTGCTGTTTTCCATTCTCAACAGATCTCTTTTGTTAAACCAAGACTCAGTGTATAAAGCATCAGAACAAGGTGTCATAGCTCAACAGGAGAGGACCCGTTCGGGATGAAGACAATCTCAGGTTTAATCCCCAGCTTCTCCTGGCAGGACTTAGAAAGAGTCTTGCTTTAAAATCTGGAGAGCAATGGCTGCCAGTCAGTGTCCACAGAACTAGGCTAAAAGGACCAATGGGCATAACAGAACTTCCTATACCCATACATCCTCAAAACACAAAGAAGCTACTTTTTGCCACCTTGAAAGACACTTTTGGTTCCATCCTTAGGCATCACTACAAGATTGCACCCTGAGCAAAGGAAGACTTACGGCTACAGCGTAACATGAAAACCCAGCTTACCACATGAGAAGTAGTGTTGATCCAGCGAGCAGGTTCGCCACAGAACTTCAGAGATGGCCCCAACACTGGTTCTAAGAAAACATCTGGATAGGCTTCTAATGGGTCCCTATCAAATAAATCAAAGGCAGGGGTGCACATTTCTTTCTTTAGGTCAGAGGGCCACCTAAGGTGTCTGTGCGCATGTGCAAGCACCTCCGCAGACAACTCACGCACTCTCAGATCTGACTCTTACCCAAGTGCTTTCAAGGCACATACTTTAATAAGAAGAAAAAAACACACACAACAACATTCCCCACAGAACCCTCAAACTACCCTGGCTCCCTGGCTTCCTAGTCCTTCCCCATCTTCGAATTTACAACCTTGTTGGATGACCTGACATCTCACATGTCCCAGTCACTGAATTTCCCCTACAAATACCTCCCAGTGGCTTTCAAGGGAAAGCCCATGTTTCCCTCATAAATACATTCTTTGTTCCACCACAAGCTTTCTTACTGGATTTCTCCTTCTTCAACAATTCCTTTGTCTGCGTCACAGGGCGAGATCCTCTCTGCTGACACGCTGGTGAAGGGCTGATTTCTGCCTATGACTTCAAGCCCATCCAGGTCCTGGACTCAAAGGGGAAATTGAAGCGATTTCATTGTTTAACAGAGAACTCAGAATGGCTAAGGGTGCAGACCCACATGTTTGAAAGAAAAAGGATTTTCTCATGCAAACTTACATAGGATTGCATCCTAAATTGGAGTTACATCATAGGATGCTTCCAGATGAGGCGTTTAACAGGCAACTGCAAAATTTATTCAAACAATTGTATGGGGAGTCCAAAAGACAACATAACTCTCTCCTATTGCTCTTTCCATCTTTTTTTCTTAACAGGGAACAAATGCTTTAAGGAGGTAGATAGAATTCCTGCATAACACCTTTGGACTGGTAGTGAGAGAATCCCTCCATTTTGGATCACCCAGAACATTTTGGGAGGGAAGATGGAAGTGTTACAAGGGCTCTGCTTTTACTTTATATAAGAGTATTGCACAAAGACAAGTGTATAATCATACCGGGTTATAAAAATCAAGCTTTTCTAAGATCTCCTTTAACTCATTTCGACGATGCTTAAGGAAGAGACTCTTCTCCCATGCATGATGGAAAGGGAGGTATTTCGGAGGTCTCGTTCCTGTGAAAATACCCAAATGTGCATTTCCCACCATGTGCAGTAACTTTAGTCCCTTGCAGAACTTTATTTTTCCACAAAAGAACCCTCATTAACATCATACTGCTTAGCTCTCTCATTTTCAATGTTATCTAAGTTCAACTTCACAGACATTCCAGCTCCTAAACAGCTTGAGGATACAGTTTTTCATCCCACCCCCTTGTTTGAAAAACCAGAGATAATAAGAACTGGAAATAAGACATTAAATGTGGTGACACCTATTAAATATACTAAAATAGTTTTGTTCTGCAGCAACCCCATGATCAGGTTTTCCTTTCAGCTCAGGGTACAACTGATTTCTGACGACATCTTTTACACCAAGTCGGACTGAGCAGTGATTCCAGTGGGATTTGCTTTGCCTCCCTGCCCAGTGTACGGCGGGACCTTCTAAGTTAAGGAATATATGGGACAAGTTGGACTTGGGTGCACACCGATCCTGCAGTTAAGAAATAACTGGTTGGACATTCAACGTGAAAATGCCTTTTGGTGAAGTGGAGAGGTTCACAATGAACACGTATCTTTAAGATCCCATATGAACGTTAACAGTTTTGATGGATGGACTCTTATGTGTTGCTCTGCACTGCTGTTCCCATTGTTACCCTCTTTCCTAGTACATTTTAAGCGGTAGTCTTTCTTGGGCTCCATCTCTTGCGGAAGAGCAGCATACAAACAACCGGACGATGCAGGGCCACTGCATGCACGTATTGAATAAGGCTTAACTTTTGTTGTCATGGGGGATCCTGACATTATGCACATCAAATCAAATCGATGTTCTGCATATTTTAATATACTGAAATTATAGTTTAATCTGATGTTATGCTTTTGGTTCTGTGAGCCATCTTGAAATCCATTTCAGAAATAGATGGGATTAAAATCTTTTAAATAAATACAATGGCAGGCAGAGGTGAGCTTTCGAAGGCCTGCCACTGCCAAACATGCTCCACTTACTGTGAAGATGTGTGTGTAGTGTACAGCAAGCAGAAAGTGATTTTGCCTCTTTTACTTCAGCCTCAGCATATCCATTATGGAGTGCCTCATACTTGATGCCTCACCCATCTCCATCCAGATGCTGCGAGGTTTCCCAACATGAGTGACTTCTTCTGGGAAGCCACATTCGGTCTGCCCCAGGGTCACCGTCAGGCCAGTGAGCTCATCCCCGATGTGCACAGGCTGGGTCCAGAATTCACTCCCTACATGGAAGCCCTAGCGGTCGAAAAGCAACGTTCATGTGAGTGCAATTGCTTTTGCGAAACAGAATAAAGCAGATCCAATAAAATTGGGTAAGGGTGCATGATGCAAGGAGCAGAAAGAAAACATGGACTTAAGAAAATGACCCCTTTACTCCTCCATTCTATGTGCAGGTAACCACAATGGGCCACATCCAATGTTATGCTGCATGTGAGCTAGCCTTGCACCCCCCCATGTGCCCCCAAACTCTGTTTGAACTAACTCTCTAGATCAGATTGAGGACTGAGGGGGGAGGAGAGGATAGGCACAGTCCCTCTGTAAGAGCAGATGATCCTTTGCACAATGCTGGACGTAGTCCATGGAACCTGGACATGCACATGACGGGCATGTCGTGAGCAGAGCCAGCTGGAGCCGGGGGTCAGACTAGATGGCCCGGGAGACCCCTTCTGACTCACTCTGTTTCAATGTTTCTATGAACCTAACCCTGAAGCAGGGGCTGCTTCATTGGAAGACAGATGGGACCAAGAGTTCACCCAGTTCTTCCAGCCCTTTTTTGATATCTAGGTATGCATTACTCTGCTTTGGTATTTTTAAGCATTCAAAACAAAGTATCTTGCAAAATTAAAAGCAAATAAAAAGTGCATAAACAATATTTAAACAACAATAATAACATAGACTACTTGCGAGTGTCTATGTAGCTATGTGTAGCTATAATAGCAGATTAAATATCTGCACACAGACATCAAGTTGAATGTAAAAATGATGATTGAATAATTGTTGACTAACATTAAGCTCACAATCCGAGAAAGAAAAAAAATCCTGCAGCTTCAGCAACTGCCAGCCAGCTTGGTTGGCTATGGCAGGTCAGGAGTTCTAGGACCTTTTTCTCTAAACATGTACAGGATTACACGATTATATATTTTTGTATATATTTCATGACATGTTTGAAGCTTCCCTAGTTCTTACACATTTGCTATTGCCAATCTTCTTATTGTGAAGACAGAAGAGCTAAAAAACAGGGCCTGCTGCACACACCTTCTGAAAAATTCCAGCCAGTTTCCCCATCCCGAGCGATGAAAATGATTTGTTCTTTTGAATTAGTACGAACAGGTCACATGCTACCTTGAGCTAGCATGTTGAGTCGCCTGTGCGAAGCTGGAAAGGCATGGGCCTGCAGCCAGAGGGGTGACCACAATGTGCAAGTGGAGCAGGAAGTTGGACTCAATGGCCATACTGGCCCCTTCCAACCCTATTTCTATGCTATGCTAGGCTATTCTAAAATAAAGAAGGGGTTTGTTTATTTATTTCCCGTTTTTGTTTTCATTCATTGAATTAAATGCTACTCATTAATAAAAACTGGTTCAAATATAACCTGAGTTTACTGTGAATGAGCATGTTAAAAGTTTGCATTTGTAATCTGTTAAAATGGAACCTGTCACCTTTTATCTGAGCACAGTAGTAGCACATTGGTATTGCACACAGAAAGCCCTAGGTTCCACACCGATCACCTCCAGTTCAAAGGATGTCTGGTAGCAGAACCGGGAAAGGCCTCTGGCTTTCCTTGGAAAGCTGCTTCCAATCACACTAAAGATCACAAGACTAGATGGATGAATCATCCAGCTTGGGGCTGACACTGCCATTAGGCAGACTGGGACAACCACCTCAAGTAGCTGATTCTACGGAGCAGCTCCCCAGCAGTTCCCTGAGTGTCCTAGCCACCCCCACTGCTGGAGGACAGAGCAAAGCCCCCTAAGCTAGCCTGCTACCCCCAGGTACAGTGAAGGAGACCGTCCTGTTGCCAGTGCTGACGTAAAATTTAACTGCTAGTCCAGGCAGCTTCTGTAAATGGCCTGTGGTGGAGGTGGTGAGGTGCCATCTTGTCTTTGGGCCAGTCCTGGTCCTACTCAATATAGGGCAGGTTCACACACCAAGTGAAAGGCTACAGATTCAAGAGACGCCAGTGTATCTTGTCCATATCATCCACTGAAGACACTCAAGCGATCTCGTACTCCTATTCCATGCCTTCCCTCAAGACTTTGCAAACGATTCAGGTTTCACATTATGAATATCTAGGGCCACCAACCAAAGTATGTGGAGATTTGCTTTCCATCCTACTGTACTGCCAGTCACATTCAGTCCTTGCTTCCAGAAACTTCTAGAAAGAAGTTCTGTAGCGCAAAAGGCATGGGTGTATATAACTAAAGACTTCCATTTCCTTCAGGGTTAGGCAAAGGCTCTTTATAGTTTCATAAAAATGACCTGCAATTTTTACAACAATCAATTACTATATACATGGCATTCAGGGAATAATTTAAATTAAAATATGAAAAACTCGGTTTAAATCATTGATTTTATCCAAGGATCTCTTCCTAATAATTGAATTCAACCCATTTCAATAAAGGAAGCAAATCCTCCCATTGGAATGAAGGTGGACCACCCTCAGGCTGCACACAGACTTCCACGAAGGTGTCTAAGAAAACAAAAACCTCTGATTCTGGCCCTCAGCCTACAGTCACTGACCATCGAGAAACTCACCAAGATGCTTTCCCCAACTGGGCACCCTCCAGATGTGTTGGATGACAGTTCTCATAAACTGCAGCCAACCTGGCTGGGGATTCCAGAGGTTGTAGTCCAGCTCACCTGTGGGGCTGCCAGTTGGAGGCTGCATGAATGACCTCATGCACTGTCACTGCAGGGATTCTTGGATCCCATAAGGTCTAGTAGATCACCCTTGTTCTGATTCACACTCGTCTCTCTGCAGATCCCTTTCCCCCCAAGGTTCTGTGGCTCCATAATTCTATCCTCAGTGGATTCACTGCTACACCATGACCAGGACTTCTGGTAATGAGTAAAAGGTTGCACCACAAAATGGCAATCTGAAAGCTCTGCTGTATGCATTATAGCATTCTGAGTTGCACAGCCAGACAGTAAACTCTATTTGAGCAGAGCAATTCTCATTAAATCAATTATAAAATCAAACATTTTCCTTTCAAGTAGCTACAGACTAAATAATTGAGGATGTATGTCATTAAATTGCTAAAATATCCTTAAAATTATTGAAAGTAGCCATGTTAAATATACTCCTATAAAGCAGGACTGTAAGAATGTTCAGGAGACAGTAATTAGAGTAGCACTTTAATTTCCTGAGAACAGTGGTACTTAGCACCAGTCCAGTGAATGACAATAATTCCTTACAGTGTAATCCAAAGGTGAGCAACTTGTGACCCTTCAGGTATGTGCACTTCCATTTCCCATCATCCTTCAGCACTGGCTATGCTAGCTAGGGCTGATGGGAGTTGTAGGTGAAACCACTGGAGAGTCACATGCTGCCCACCCTGATGTATCCCTATACTTGTATACTTAGACGTAAGCCCCATTAAGTTCAGTGGGGCACATGAGCATAGAGCAGCATTGCTAATGTGCCACATTCTTCTCAAGAACACTTCCTCTGTGACTCTTTTTCTACAGCAAACAATGCCATACCCACGAGAACCTGCAAACCCATCACTGCTTTCAGAGCTGATGCTCTCAATTATGAAGAAGCATCCATGCAGTCGGTGGTATGCCTCAAGACCGGCGGTCCATTCTTGGTGTAATTTGGAACAAGCACCGTTGTGAATATGCAGGTGCATGTGTGACATTATCTACACTAACATGGCACCAAGCACAAGCCTTACCCAAAGTTTCCCTTAAGTAAATCAAAACTATGAGGAAATATCACCTTTCCAAAATACAGAGCTGGGAGGCTGCGCTCAATCAGAGTCCGCTGTTCTTGGATTCTCCTATAATTCTCTGAGAAGTTCATCAGCAGTTCACTTTCTGATTTCTGAAGATAATCTTGAGAAAGAAAGGGTCAAACAAAGAAAACAGTTTGACTCCAACAAGGTGCAGTTTGGTGCTACAGGCAACCACGAGGCTCAGAAAATCAAACCTATATATGTCATTTTACCCTCCACACACTGTACCTTCCACGTCCAAACTTGCCTTAATCTTCCCTTCAGCAAAAGCTACACTGGCTGGAGCAAGTGCAGTCAGTCATTTCTAACACTTGGGTATAAAAGTGTGTGCAGAAATGCCTGCAACGTGCTTGCTCCAATATTTTACGACTGGTCATCCCTCATACAGCGGATCTGCCCACGAGGCAGTGGCCCTGCCCAGGCTTTATTCACCACACAGTTTTTTCTGCTGCTTCCTCCGGAGTGCCATGTTGCGATGCCAGTTCTGAAGAGCCATGTGCTGTGATGAATGGGTCTGGGCCATCTTCTTTTCTCGCTCATATTTCTCTCGATACTTCCCGAAAACAGGGACCGCACTCATCAGCTGTGATTCATCAGGAACCAGTCGTGCTGTCTGAAAGAGACCATGGTTTGGAGTCTCTTCAGGAATATGGCAAACACAAATCAGTAAGGTACTGGCTGTATGCATTCACTAGCCATTTCTCACTCTATTTATCCGGTCTACACTGTCACAGGCATTGCCACTAATTAGTGCTCCCACTTGTTGAGTGAAAACTAATACTTCATTGAAGCATTTCAATCCATCCTCCACCCTTCCAGCAATGTGCTTTTGTGTTTACTCTCAAGTAAGCAGCACCGCGACACCAGCACATCAACATCTTTTTGCAATGCAGCACAGCTTCTTCCCACACCACCTGGGTAATGGCAGAAGACCCCCGCCATGTGAAACATGGAGGACATGCTGTGGCTGGTGGCATTTTCCCACCACAGCACTGCCTTCTCAGAAACTGGGGCAACTCTGGTCTGGGAATGTTGACCCCCTCCGTAATGTCCTGGGGCTTCTGACATTTCTTAAATCATGCTAGAAGAGCTGTCCCACACTGTAAAAGAGAAGTCAAAAGAGGCTCCTTGGATGACCCAAGTCAACATTTCCTCTCTGAATTCCCAACGCAACCTGTCAGGATTAGTAAATGCGAATTTATTATTCTACACATGAGTAAATTTAATTGTATCGTTGCACCTTTTGCGGGATTCAGGTGGAACACTGTTGTGCAACTTTTCTAAAACAGTTTACTGGGAAGGAGTACAAGAACAGCATGGAAGGAAAAAAACCTCTGTCGCTCTTCTTCATCTTCTCTCCACATTCTAGTGAGTGGGATACATTCCCTTGCAGGTGAAAGAAATGTTCACTTAACATCTGGCATTTAAAAAAGTGTGTGTGTGTGCGTGTGTAAGCCAGAATAACACTTTTAAAAATGAGGCTACAAACAGAGGAAAGTGTCTCTGATCAGCCTATAAACCAAAGGAAGTGCCTATGGCTAACCGCAGAGGCAACAGCCTAAGAGAAAGCAAAACAGGATATAAAGATGGCAGGCAGCAGAGGGAGGCATCTCCTGGGGAAAAGGCTGTTTGGATTACAGTCTTCATGGCCACTGCATGCCTGCATTTTCAAAGCATTCTAGCCTGCAAGAGTACCCCTTGTTGCCTAACCATATATGCTTCAAAAGGCATTGCTGATCTCCTTCCACTAACTGTGGCTGTAAATTAATACTACGTATAGCAGATGAAACCAACCTGAGAGTGCCCTCTTCTTAAGGCTTCTTGCTTGAATTCCTGGAGAGTCCCTAAGATGCTGTGTGGGAGGATATAGCCATAGTTATCAATTACTGGTCCTTCTAAACCTGCAATAAAACATAGTTCAATAAATCACAAAGCACACCTATTAGATAAGTCAGCTCTCAAGGAATTATAAAAATTTGAAAACTATTCACGGGACTTAAATATCCAGAATGCTCATTCTGGAATATCATGATCATGCAAAGGTAAGGGAAAAGCTATTGATAACTATACCAGGATAATTCAATGTTTTCTTGGATTCATCTGAGAGAGCTGGATAAGCAACCAGGAAATGTGCTTTTTTCCCATGCTCCTGGGGCCTGGATCTGCGAACAATAAACTTCTTGGTCACAGAAGGTTTCTCTTTCTCTTCTTGAGCAAGATGTGCAGTACGAAGCTACCAAAACAGAATACACTCTTAATAAAGTCACATACAGAAAGGCTACCAGCATATCTCTTATTTTCCTACAGATAAAAGTGGATAAACAATAGGAGGTAAAGAATTTACCCAAGAGGTCAAATGAAACTTTTCATGAATGAGTTGATAAGCATTCAGGGATCAAGAATGCAACCACATACTTGTGATTGCAAAACTTACTGTCTGACTTTCCAATGTGGGATCTAAATGCTCCAAAGAATCCTAAAAAAGGTCACACTGATGCAGCCCTCTCAGATTGTGCCTCCACTGCTCTGAAAGCTTGTTTTGAGACTCCTGTGCCCTTTCTGGCTTTGGCAAAAGATGCCAATGTATTATGCTCACCTTTGCCAGGTCTTCCAACTTTATGGCTAGAGCCTGGATTTCATCTCCTTGCAGTACACAGCTCACAGGCTCTGGCTCCTCTTGAACTGGTGAGGAAGGCTGCTCAAATGGTTTGGCTCTTTTCTTATCTGAAACATAGTTTTTTCATTGTTGTGAATTGCTTCTTCTTTTCCTTTTGATCATTTTAAATCCTGCAAGGTACTAATCCTTTGCTTCCTGGGAGAGTAGCTAAAGCACTGGATTCTCAAGAAATACTGTCTTAGCATGCACATGCCATATCTTAAAACAAATTAATCTAATGATTTCTAACAGCTTTTAATATTTGAGCATAAACCAGCTTGGTTTCAATCCAAATATAGTTGCATGCAACAATGGATCTGCAACTTAAATGGGACGTTTGAGCACATGTTCCTATCCGCATTACAAGGCGGATGGAAATACACAGATGTTATAGAACAAATGGGGGCTGTATTGGATGGCTCACTTCTGCTTGCCTCACACATGCAACTCTTGATCCAATCTATACCTTGATAGGAAAGGAATCATAGCATGAAAGCAGCATTCATGTATGACTTCCCTTGCTGAATCCAAGTTTCCTGTCTACAACCAGATCCTCTAAAGCTGTCGCTTTTCCAACCTAAGGTCTCCGGATGCTATTGGACTACAACTTTCATTATCCCTGACAACTGGTCATGCTGGCTGGAGATTATAGGTTGTAGCTCAACAACATCCGGGAACCCAAATTTGGGAAAGGTTGCAAATCACTAAGAAAAACTATATCCTCTCCAGTATTTCAGCATTTCTACTTGGTCCTTTCTATACGAACATTTGTAGCAATAAATACCAAAGAATCACAATAAAAAGCAGAATCAAATCAGGCTTCCTTCAGACAGCAGCAATTATATTCTGAATTTAAAAAAATAATCCCAAGAAATGCCTGCCAAAATGACTTTCCTACACCTTGGAAGGCAAACTGTGATGGATTAAGCACACTTCCTTCAACAGGGCATCACAACAAGTCAGTGCCACTGCTGACATGTCCTTTGGGTCTACCTACCATCCCTCAGATAGGCAAGTCCAGTTCTAACCTCCACATAATCTGTTCCCAATCTCTGAACAAGGATATGGTGAATTTTACATGACATTGAATGTTTAGCGCTATGCTTCTGTACCTGTTGCAGAGCATTAAAAAGGCACAATTTTCCATATACTGTCTGGATATAAGTCCCACATCACCCTCTTTCTCATTAATAATCAAAACATTTCTCTCCCCCCCCTCTTATTATAATGTATCTGCAATGCTACACCTGCATACCCTTCTTATCAAATTTAACTGCAGTGTCACCTCTTTGCTTCACAAGCCCAGAATTCAGCTTCTCCATAACCATGTATTAATTAACATTTGGCCTGTATTTACAAGGGGGAGGTTTGCATAACATGAGAGCCCACTGTGAGTTAACCCACAGTGAGGCCCCAGCACATGCAGGGCACATGCAGCCACCATTTGAATTTGCAACCCCATTCAGGATTTGTCATGCTGAGCAAACCAGGTCATAGTTAGTTTACTGTTCCACAGGAAACGAGTATGCGAGGCTATTTCAGCTTCATGTTCTCTCCCTGGGCACATTTGTGCAGCAGTTTTTGATAGCAGCAGTTTGGTGCAATGCTTCACAACCACCAGCATGGGAAATTGATCTATCAAATATTTATTTATTTATTCATTCATTTATTATAAGCATTTAGATCCCGTCCTTCTGCCAAACACTCAAGACGGTTTACAAAAACAACTACTGCATCTATCCTGCCTCATTATTGAAAGCATGGATTCTGGCATACAAATGACAAAATCTTATGTTGATTTCAGGCTCAAATCCGCTTGTAAGAAGGATGGGCAGGAACGTGCAAGCCTCCAGTACATGTGGGTTGCAAGGGCCAAATATATGGGCGTTGCTCATGTAACTCCCCTCCAAACTGACCTGCAGGCACAGTGAATTTAATTACCCCCTTCTGAGCACCTCAGGCTAACAGCTTCTCACAGAGAACAAACAAACAAACAAACAAAAGAAGAAAGGACTCTGCTGGGTCATCAGACCATCCAGTCTGGTCTTCCCAAGTGGCCAACCAGATGCTACCAGCAACACCACATGCATAAAGACAAAGGCCCTCTTCCTCCTCAGCAGCTGGTGTTCAGAAACTGTTTCTGAAACAGGAGGATTCATTTCATTGTCACATAGGATGGCCCTATCTGACACCCATTTGTCTACCCTCTTCATCAATCCATCTAAGCCAGTGATATTTGGGGGCAGTAAGTTTCATAAGTGAATGATGCTTGAATTAAGAAATGCTTTTTATGACCACCCTGAACCTACGACCAAATATTTTCAAGAAGGGCATGCACTTTTCCTGATCACTCTGGCCAAGGCTCCTCAGAGTGGCACCAGCACCACTTCCCCTGTCCTCTTCCCCTGTCCCAGGCTGGCACAGTGAAGCTCTCACCACCTCCCCTCTTGCTGTTGCTGCCCGCACTGTACTGTGCTCCATCTACCCTGTACTAACTTCCCTGAAACATTTGCCAACATAAAGCCCCAGCTGCAAAGAGAAATCATTCAACTCTAGAACATGTTTTAAATTGCAAGAGAGGTCGCATCCGAAGATGTGCAGAGCCCACTTTAAACGCGATGCGTCCCAGTTCAGTGGCACATTGATTTAATAAAATGCTTTCCAAGCACCCCGCATCTTTGTGGATACCAAACTGGTGCACGAACATAATTAAAATAGGCAGTTCACTCCCTACCCGGGGGCGTTTTGCTGCTGTTGCGCGAGTCTTTCTTCCCCGGCTTGCTCATCATGACAATCCGCGCGAGGCTCCTCCGAGCCCCCGGACAGGCTCCGCCCCCGTAACTCGCGGGAGCCGCCTGCGTGCCTGCAAAAGCTTGGGAGCACGAGCAAACCACCGCGTTCTCGTCTCCACGGCAACCCTGCTTCGTCCACCAGCCCCGCCCGGCGACCCACCTACAGCACCAGGCTGCCAATCAGGCTGTCGAGAGAAACCAAGCCTACAGCGCCTGCGGAATGGCCCTCGAGCGGACAGAAACGCTCGCGCCCGTGAACGCACGCGCAGCGATCGACGCACATCCGCGTGTGCGCGCCTTTAAAAACTGCACCTCTTTCGCGCGCTAGTTCTATGTGCTGCTACCAGTGCCAATTCCTGACACGCCTGGTTAGAATAGGCGGGTGCGGCGGGGAGGAGGCGTCTCTCTCCAATCCTTACTTAGATAAGCACTTTGAATGGATCCGTGCCGCTTTGCTGGCTGTATAGATCCTGGTTCAAAGATAAGCCCCGAAATGGAATTTAATTCTATGTCTGCAGCGAAGAGCAAAGAACTCTAGGATCGAAGCACTTAATTCCTAAGAATTAAGGTGCTTCCCAAAGGAACTTTGGTGCACCAAAAAGCACAGAAATTGGAAGGGCTGAAGTAGACTAGATTCCATTTATTTAATTGCAGATGTGTCTTTAAAAAGGCACTTTTACGGGGGAGGGGGGAGTAAACAGGTATTGAGGACTATGAAAGTTTTAATTTTTTGTTCCCTGCTATGGTTCTCACTGGGAACACTTACATGCTGCTTGTATTGGGAAAGGGAATTTGCACTGAGATGAATGGGAGCTTTCCTTTACAATTTAATGTATTTCTTTATTAAGTCTTTATATACTGCTCGTTTGAAATAAACCCTGAAGTGACTTACCAAAAGCATAAAGAACAACACTAGCAGAAAACTTCCCAAATACAGTAGTATCATAAGGTTGGTCACCTCATAGCTGGGGGGAAAACTAAAGCAAACAAATACATTGTTTAAAAATGCCTAAAATGCATCGGTGCTAAGGCCTAATGTACTTCAGAAGGTAGCTGTCACCAAATGGAAATCCTCCAAGAACATTTGTAGCTAACTTGCCCTAAGATGGGAGTTATTATAAACCTCTGGATCTAGAGAGGGTGTATTCATTAGTGGTCATGCTACTTTCCCCTTAACAGCAACAGGGCCACCTCTTTAGGCTATAATTAAATCACCACTCCCCGGATCCAGCAAGCCAAAGTGTCTTCTTCATGTCCTCAGCCTGCAAAAGTTGAAATTGACCTCGCCACCAAAAAAAAAAAAAAAAAAAAAAAAAAAAAAAAGTTGTAAGGATTGGGATTGCAGAAAGGTGCCAAGCCGCTTTCTCCAGCACCAGCGTTCTGCTCTACATCAAGTCACCCACAGTGGCTCTTTCAGTAGAGCCATTCATGCAACTGGTAATTGTCTTTTGTCTAGCTAGGCATTGTTAAGACCACTGCCATAATACCTGCCCCATGTAAGAAGTAAATATATAGTCTTTCACAATGTACTCACATATAACTGTCTCAGTGCAATACTTTCCCTAAGTTTTCTCTCATTGCAGGCTGCATGAGTGCTAAAGTTATTGGAGCAGTGGCAGACTAGCTGTACACTGAAATTCTGTCTTCCCTTTATGCTTTATTTGGATTAGCGGGAATGGCATATATGAGTACGAACCATCATGAAAGCAGCAATCTTAAAATACCAAAAAAAAAATCCCAACAACTCGTTGCATTCCCCAGCCAGCATAAGAGAGGAGGAAATATGTCCCAAACTTCAAAATATGCATAGGACTGGCTGTTGCAATAAGTTTGCTCTGCTTAAAATGAATTGATTTTTTTTATTCTTTTGCATCTATAAGCAAAGCAAGACTGATATGTAAAGTTTGAATGGCTCTGCTTTACTTTTTGCTAAGCATGCACAGAAATACACACTTATGTTTGCAAATTGCAAGGGATTGGTTGTCCAAATTAAAGTTTTAGAATGTTTAACAATGACAAGTTGAGTTTAACATCCACAGGATTGTGCTTTGTAGCTTAGCATAGGCTATGAAAGAAGTTGGCTCTCAGAATGAAGAGTGTGTGATTTAAAAGCATGTCATTATTAAATATGTATCACTGACCTAATCTTCAGATGAGGCTTGTAGCTGAAAGAATATTAAACACTGTCTGGCCTGGCTGGAAATTTATGGGAGTGGTAGTCTAGCACACATCTGGAGGATCTGGGCTGGGGAAAGATGCAGTACAACATGCTGACAGCTTCCTGAGCTTTTAATTTCACTCTTTCCATGCTTTCCAGAAGCTATCTGGATAAAAATCCATTTCCAGTCTCAGTTGAGTCACAAGATACTGCTGATAAACATTTTTTAAAAATCGGCCAGGATGCTTAGATAGGAAAAAAAGGCCTACAGCTCCCAGCATGCCCCAGTCACCTGTGCTGGTTGCAGCATGCTGGGAGTTGTAGACTGTTTTTTCTGTCAAAATATGTGTGGCGTTTCATTTTAAGTCTGTATGTTGTACAGTAGATATTAACCAAAGAAGCAACCAGTATGAACTATTAGATCATGTTCTACAGGAAAACTTTCCTTGAATAAATAATCAATATGTAAAGTGTTAGACAGTCTATGTCTACTCAACTACTCGCTTGCTAGCATGATCTCTTGGAGTAATTTGGGCCTGGTCATGTGAGGCCTAACTTTATAGAAGAATCTTCTTCTCTCTCTCTCTCTCTCTCTCTCTCTCTCTCTCTCTCTCTCTCTCACACACACACACACACACACACACACACACAAATCAATATTCACTTTCTCATATACTTTGCACAAGCCTCTCCAGTCCCCCGCCACCACAAAAAAAACACCACACAGGCTGTACTTCACAACTCCCCCCAACACTGAGCCCCTATCCACCTTTTGCATACACACAAACAGATGCCAATCGGTACTTCACACAAGTTCGCCCCTTCACAAAAACTCCTTCTGCAAACGCACACACAGCAGTACACACAAATACAAACTCACTAGCACTTCACTCTCGCATGCCCCTACCTTTAACTTCAGTTGTAAGTCTCTTCTGTTTGACGGCAGCCATCTTTCTTTAGGAAAGGGGCTCTGACTAGGAGGAGGCAAGCTGGCACTAAGCATGTGCTGAAATGCAAATTGCCTTTACTTTAACATAATTTTCATATTCTTATAAAATTTTAAAGAGCCTAAACTGGCAAAAGGAAAAACTGAAAGTACATTTTGCTTGTGCATGAAAAAAACAAACTCACAAATGCATGAAAAATTTACTTCAAGGGAAATCTGCAGTATGTCAGCCATTTTCTATTAATTTCTTTAAAAGTATTGGGTATGTGATAGCACCCATCACATAGCTTCTTTGTGCCAGAGTTCTTGTGGTTTTGACTGCATGGTATTACAGTTATTAGAATATTCAAGACTTTGGGTATTAGTCTCTTTAACTTACCCATTTCTGTGTACTAGAAAGCTGTTTTCAGAGGATTGTCTAAGAGCACATTTGCTGCTTTGAACTAAATAATAACCATGCTTACCCAACATGAAGTAAAATTTACACAACAGTTTCAGTGTTGACTCACTGCTAATAAAAACAAATTAAATACGGATGCTGACATTAAATGGACTCATATCCTGCTCATAAAAACTTACTGGTTCTGATCCCAAGAATGTTGTGGCTCAATCTATGCAAAGTGAGGCAGTTTGAGATCACTGTTGTAGGTAGCAATGTTTCTGTACAGGATCAGGTTGGTAGTTGCACTTCTCCCTTTGAAATCAGCGGCACAAATAAGCTGTGGCCAACTTTTGAATGCCATTAATTTCTTGTAACCACTGGCAGGTAATCATGACTACGGTTCTCTGGGATGGGCAATTTAATTCCACTGAATCAGTGGAACCTGTTGAAATTACATATTTGTATTTGAGACTGGTATATTAGAACCACTGATTCAAATGGAACAAGCAAAACAACACTGTAATATTACTCCATCTTTGATATTGCACTGAGTATCAAATCTGATGACACTCATTAGAAGTCTGAATGTGCCTTTCAGCTCAAACAATTAAGGCAGGAACTCATGAAGATTTCTCCTGTTGTAAAGTTATTGTCTTGCCTCAACTGGAGCCTAATTTGCTTTGGAAGGAAGTGAGTAATATACGTGTTCCAAGAGTGCAGTGTGTCTTTGCCATGCACACTTACTGTAGAAATTGTTGCCCAGTTCTTAAGGGACATACTTTGTGAGAGACAACCTGCATTTATTTTCATTTCAGAACAATAGCCCCGTCAGCTTTGCTTGTCATTCTCTGGTTCCACATAATAGGGTTGAGATTGTCCCCCTGCCAGTTTCTTGTGCTCTTGGCTTAGCATTTTACCGCCAGAGGTGTGAAAGATTCTAGAAATTGAGTGGGTTTTTCAAAAAATCCTGGGACAGATTTCCCACCTCAATTCCTTAAATATGACTGTGAAAACTGTATGGCACTTGCTGATTATACATTTGGCCCTGTTGGTCAAATGGATGGGCAGGAATCCAAGCCAATGCAATAAAAGTGCAATTCTGATGTGTCCTACAACTTTGCTGAATGAAAAGGATATTCACACTTTTGTTTTTTGGTTTGCTCTTTCTGCCTGCTGTTTGGACCATCATACCTTTATCCATTTTGCAGTGCTTGCCTTGTTCTAGTAAGATGCACTCAAATGTTTATATTCTTAAAAGTTTTAGAATATTATGCCCCCTCTTCCCTTCTTTCTACATCACTTCTGCTGGCTTTAGTCTTCTAATACAGTCCTGTCTTTTATGTGTTTTACATATCTATACATTTTCTGTTGTGTCACATTTTTATGGAATGCGTTTTATACTGAAGTTCACATTAATCCAACTTCTGGCATCTTGCACAGCCCATCCCAACCTACCCAAACAATTTGAAATGTGTATCTTTCTATATGAACTCCCCCATTTTCTTCCTTGTTCCCCCTCACCTTCCCCAGCTCAGTCCCGTATCCTGTTTTTTATTCCAACATCTTCCTTACTTTCCTTGTGTTGTGTCTACTTAGGAGGGTAAGCTGGCAAGCAGATTGTCTCCTTTTTCTATATAATGCACTTGGCTGCTGGAGAAGCATTATACACGTTTAATTAGTCATGCCCTTTTTCCCTTCAAGAAACTCAAGGTGGCTTAGCCAGTCCTCCTCCTAATTTATCCTCACAACAGCAACCCTGTGATGTAGGTTAGGCTGAGAATCTGTGAGTGGCCCAAAGACACCCAGTGAGCTCCATGGCTAAGCAGGAACTAGAACCCAGAGCTCCCAAATCCCCAGTTCCATACTCTAACCACTATACCACACACACTTTCCAGTATGAAATACAAAATACTGTTAGTTATAGTAAAGGTTTATTCAAGAAGTTATGTGTACACAAGTGAAATGTGGATGGAAATCCAATGTTAAAAAAATGCTGCAATTAAAGGAGCTGTAATTATTCCATTTTAAGTTTCATTCTTTCCCTAGCAGTTACTTGTGCCTCCCAGGGTGATTGTAATAGTCTTTAATTGCTTTACTGATTTTAATCAGCCCTTATATAGATGTGAGTATGTTTGTCTCTTTCCCTGCATTTGGAGGGAAACTGCAATTTTACATAGAAGAGACTGTATACATCAGGAGGGCTCCTCTTGATCCAATGACCTAGTTTAAGGAATCCTGCGGTGGGGGGAGAGACACAATGGAGAGAGCTGTGGGAAGAAAGGGAGTCTTCTCCAACATCCAGGTCGGACTTCTGGCAAGAGCCATCTGCTCCTCCCTGGCAGCCAACAGTGGGAAAGAGAGAAAATAAGGAGGTAAAAAGGGGCAGATGGAATAAATTCAAGTGGTTGCTACAAGGAATTAAACAGTATCTACAGCAAGAAAACTAACACTGTAGGAGAATACATGTTCATCCTCACTTGTTCCCAAGACATATAAAAGTAGTTGAGCACAACTGAACTGGATTCCTAAGAACTTTTCACCAAATAGGTGAGATGAACTGTGACAAAGCTGTTTTAGAATCCAGGGCTTCCCTGCACGCTCACTGTGCTGCCATCATTTTGAGCACGTTTTTCATTATTTTCACAGTTAATCAACACTCAGGGCAAAACCTCAGTAACTTGGGCACAGTGTAAAGAGCAAAGATAGACAGGAAATAAAAAGAGCACTCAGCATGACCTCAGCTGTGGGACGTGTCCAACACCTCCTGACTTTGAAAGTGAAATGATCGATGCCCATACCAGGGCCAAATCAAGCACTGGCTCAGACATTAGTCTTTTTCCTCCCCACTGCATGCTTCCGTCAGGCTGTCCTTTCAACTGAGTTTTCAGAACTCTCCAGTTCATGTGTTTACCATTTCTTTTACTGCTTCTTTAGCAATACGCGCATATTTTTAAACTGCAAAAATGCTTTCAGGGTTGAGGGCAAGGATTGGTGATATAATAGGAGGCCAGTCAGTCATCTCAATTGATTGCTGCTTCAGAATCCTGCCCCCATTTTCCCTCTCCAGAAGCTGAACCGGGGCAGGAAAGTTATTTCTTAATATTTCCAGAGTTACTCCACTGTTTTATTTTCTTAATTAATTTTTGGTCTCTTACTGTTTTAGGTGGGAAAAGCTACCATGCCAATGGCAAAGTAATTTTTTGTGCAATCCAGCAAGTCAATGTATGAAATATAATACAAACAAAACCCAACTAAGCTCTGTAATTTGTTCCATTTATTCAAGTGAAATTTGTTTGATTTATTCAAATTCATTGAAATGAGCTGAAGCTATTTTAGTTTTATCAGTTTTGTCACAACCACATCTGGAAGGAATCTTGATGCTCTTCTAGCCCAGGAGTCGGCAACCTTTAACACTCAAAGAGCCATTTGGACCCGTTTCCCACAGAAAACACTGGGAGCCGCAAAACTCTTTTGACCTCTAAAATGAAAATAACACTGCATATATCATTTTTTACCTTTATGCTATGTTGCATTTATGAAACAGATCGGCAGCTGTGCCATGCTGGCCTGGGTCGCAGATTGGCGGCTGTGCTGTGCCAGTGCGGGTTGCAGATCGGGCTGTGCTGGCGCATGTCACAGATCGGCAGCTGTGACACGTATTTTGAGCAACGGAGCCACAGCAGAGGGATTCAAGAGCCAAATGTGGCTCCGGAGCCACGGGTTGCCGACCCCTGTTCTAGCCAGTCTTCTAAAATGGCATGATTCCTAGGTTTAACTTGCCTCTGAAATATAGCCATATTGTCTCTGAATCTGGAATTCTACATTTTGCTTTCACCCACATTATGTGTTTCACCATGGCTGACATTTCACGTGATACTTGTTCAGCTGGTCAGACCTGTGATTAATGACATCAGCAGGGCATGCATGCCATCTGAGGTTAACTGGGCTTGCTTCTGTTCAGATCAATTCACTGCATTCCATTTGGCTGCCTTATTTTCCCTTCCTTGCTACTAATACTGAGAGAATGCTGTCATTTCATAGTGCATCTTTCATTTGCAGAAGCTCACATTCATTATCCCTCTTTTAGTGGGTGGAGGAAATGAGACCAAGATTAGCTATATTATTAGCCCAGGATGGTGCAATGAGTCATAGTGCACAAGGTAGAATGTTCGTAATTTTCAGTCTCCTGCCAAACAAATTCCATCTTGAATTCCAATTTAACTAGGATAATTTCTAAAATCACGTTGTGAACTGGAACATGGAGTTGGCTGAAGGTTTCAGTCCTTTATTTCATTTACATTCTCCTCCCACTTATTATCAATGCATGGATATTTACATGCATAATTGCTTATCAATACACACACATTTTGCAAGCAGATAAAATTCTGAAAAAATATTCATATGAAAGGTATACTTACATCAAAATTCTTAGGGTTACATCTAATGTGGCTGCCTGTAGCCCCTGAACTTGGAGGATTATAGGCATCCAATGGAAAAGGGGGAGGAACACGGCATCTAGCATCGCCTCAGCAGTTCCGTTGTGCTCCACAACATTTAAATATTCCCTGCTGCTCATTATGGTTCTAAAGATAGTCTTTTGTCTCTGAAGCCCTACAGGCGTGGAAACAACAGTACCAGCTGAGAAGGCAGGACCTTCTGATGTAAGAATCACAGCTCTGACCTCAGAAGGCATTTCCAAAGCCAGAGCTGGAACTCCAACCTATCCTTTGCACCTCCAGACAATGTTGGAGGACCACAGAATTGCACCCTTAGTGCAACCACTTACAAAAGTGCATAGGTGCTCCTGCACAAAAAGCCCAATGACACTCAACAGAGAAGTTTGTTTATACTTTATTTTTAAAAAATATTACTGAGCCACCATCATATCCACAAAGGGCCCCCAAGACAACTTACAATTCAAGTCTTTAAAAACCATTCAGAAATTTAAAGCCCTGCACACAGCAAAATGAAGAAAAGGAAAAACTCAGTCTTCAGAGAGGAAAGGTAATACATTTAAAAGTACTGAAAATGGGGTTAAGTGACTTACTGGGCAGCCAGGAGTGGATACCTGTATCCAGTGCACTTCAGTAAAGTATTCCCCAGCTGTTTTATGGCAAAAACAAGCAATCTAGTCAAAGCCATTTTACATTTGGTTTTTAAACTCAGGCCCAAATATTAGCTCCATTTAGAGGGCAGAAGACAATGCAGCCCCACTGATTTTGAATGATGGGTGCACATTTAAATGGCTTGGTGTAAAGATCAGTTGCATCACCAGCACCCTTAAGAAATGGGTTCAGTGCCTTGCAATTTCTTTCTGTTTCTGCAACTACATGCCTCTCCACTTTACCTTAGTAGAGTTCACTATCAACACCAGTTCCACAAATGGTGCTATATGAGGTTCTGTCTGTGATTTCCTTATCTCCCCTAAAACCAGTCTATAGTCAAAATTACAATGTGATCTAGCTTGCGCAGATTGCTCCTTGGATCCTTAAAGGAAGCACTTTGCTCCAGAAACTTTAAGAAAAAAGGTATGAGAATGTGCAGTCAGGGCACTATGAAAACAAACAGGCCAAACAGGTTTATATGTAGCATCACTAAGAAGCTAAATAAAATGCACATACTAATTAACATGGGTCCTCCAGACAGTCAGGTGAAGACAAACTGGAAACAATTACATGGCAAAATCTGCCCACCTTTATTCTGTGTAGTGAAAGAAGGGAAGCTGATTGACAAATAAAAGGAATCCACCAATTAGGATCTGGAAAGGGTAAGTATTGCATGTGCTAGGGTGCTTAGGAAATGGATACTTAAAAGTGGTTATTGTTTGCCAGGAAAGACAGGAAAAAGCAAAAATCAGGGTTCCATTTCTTTTCTGCCTGTGCTGGTCAGACTTTGTATAATCAGTCTCTTCCAGTAGATTTAGGAAAAAGAGGAGGGAATAAATATGTTGCCCACTAGAGGAATCTTTGGTCAGAGATAGTTCTTAAAGGGAAAGACGTGTTATGGCTTCAGGCTATTTCACCACAACACAGATGTGGGAAGCTGGAAAATAACTGTGCTTCCACTTTGATGTTTATTACCAGGGCTTTTTCTCACTTAATTACATATGTACCATTCACAGTTGGTGGTGCTCTGCATGCATTTGCCACTTAAATTCAGATACTATTTGCATCCAACTTTAAAAAATCAGCCTTCGGATGCTATGCAGGATGCAGAGCTTTGCACAGAGAATCTGTAAAGACACCCAAGAGTATTATTTCTCTTCAGAGACTATTTCTCCTTTTGCCGCTAGAAAGATGCAACTATGATGGATGGAGTAATTGAACAGAGGAGACTGTTACTTCACTTGCTATGGAGTGGTGCCACTCATGGTGAAGTGCTTAGAAATCATCAAAGATCTGGATGCAAGTTTCTTGAACTGAGTCAGAATGAAATCCATTAAAACATTAACAGTCACATTGAGTTTACACATTTTAAATATCAGCCTGTTAGATATTAGATTCCTGTTGGCTTGAATGTGCAGGCTTTTGAGCTCCACAGTCTCATCTTGCCTAAAATAAATAGCTTAACAAAGAAGGCTTATGCATCCCAGTCCATAGGAATAAGTTCCATAAAAGCCATTGCCTTATGGATCTACCTCCTAGAGGACATCTATGCATGTCTATGTTAACAGCACATGTAATATTTTTAAAACTATCATGAAGCACATCTTTCAATAGCAAAAATTAAGTTATGTGCTGGCACACCTATGTAGAGCAGAGGGTATAAATTCATGTTCTAACCACCTAATGTCATTCATTTAGCATAACTTAATGTAGCTTCCCTTCTGGAAAGGAACGTCCATATCTTTTGAACTGGAAGCTTCATGTTCCTGGATTTATTAAAAAAAAAAGGGGGGGGGATGTGTGCTTTACTTGTGCCAGTTTTCAGCAACTTGTTTCAACTAATATCTCTGAGGATAACATAACATTGCATCTTGTAATCTGAGCATAAGGAACCTGACAATGAGTTAAGCAAAGCAAGCCAAAGGATCAGGAAGTACTCAGTCCAAGGGCAATGCCTGATTGACCATCAAAAGCAACCCAGACCAGCAATCACAGCTTAGGGGAGGGCTGGAGCTCAGTGGCAGAACATACGGTTTAAATGAAGAAAGTCCCAGTTCAATGCTGTCACCTGCAGGCAGATCTAGGAAAGACTCTTGTCTCAACATAAGGAATCTTTCTGTGTTCCAGCGGGACAAAAACCACAATGAGATGGAGGTCAAGAAAAAAAGAGGGCTAGTAAAGAGAGGAAACTCAGCAGACTGGGTGAAACCAATTCATTTATATGATTTATATAACAGGTCGAATGTGAAACACATTCTGGGAGCAAGTACATAACAGAAGGATGTGTGCAAATTACCCTCATACTGTAAAAGCACTTCTGGCTTTTTACTATGAAGACAGAGGATATTCCAGCGAGAAAGCCTTTTTCACCCTCTCGATTGTATTCTGCAGAACTGAACCATGAGCATGAGAAGCTACCCTGCAGGTACAATATTCAAATCTTTTATTTCTGAGTTTCTTTCCTTCCGCAGAGTCTATTATTTATTGTTTGGTTAAAAGTAGCAAACTTCGGTTAATGAAAACCAGGTCACAATGAATCTATTCATTATGTAGCCCAAAGATGTTACATGCTTTATTTCTTGTACAAGCCACAACAACTTCCATCCTGGCACAAAGCGGCCAAAGCTCAGAGATGCGAGCACTGATAAAATATTTGTATGGTCACATGTATTATTGCATTAAGAGCCTTACTGTGGTAATTTCCTGGGGTGTCTATCTGCTCCTGCACAAAACCCGCAACAACACACAACAAATTTTATTTATGCCACACGCCCAAGGATGCCACAGTTTAGTTCATGCCAATACACGCACCCAGTATAAGACCACAGTCAACTCACCAACTTCATTTAAGAAACTCGTTTCTCTGGATGTGACCTCAGCATTTGAACAACCTTCCAGACTGGAGATAATATCGGAACAGTCTTCAACCTCCAACTTAGATGGCCCTTTCAATGTGTTCTGCTGCAAGTTAGTGGAGTGCAGCGTTTGGACTTCAGGGCCCGCTGAATGCTTTTGCCTTCTCTGCCCAGGCCTGCTGCAGCTGGCTAAGAAGTGTCAGCAGCAGGGAATCCAGCACAGCGAGTCCTTTCCAAGAACACCTCAGTCCCCTGCAAAAACAAACAGTCCCCACCAGTGCAGGACATGTATTAGTCTTCTGATTAAGCTAAAGTTGAGTAAGCTGGATAGATGGACATCTTTAAAGGTGAGTTTAAGGGGTGGAGTAAGTACACTTGACGAATGTAATACCTAGAATTGTTTCTGTTATGTGGTATTCCTCTAGTTACGCTTGGCAAAAATTTCCAAAAAACTTAATGCCTTGTTTTATAAAGTCCTATGAGTTTTCATTTGGCCACAAGTATCTTTGAAAAGGATGCAACTTTTGATTAAAGTAGAGGAGTTTGACCCCCTGATCTCAAGCCTATTGTTTAATTGTACCACATATTGGTCTTTTTTGCTCAGATTAGACTTTTCTCCGTGGTCAGTTTTGGAATATTCACATGTGGATCCTCCCCCCAAATGGACTCCACTGGATTGTTGACATATAATGACAGACAGGGTACCTCCTACAGCTATACCAATGAGAGCTGCGGTGCACAGGTTCATGTCAATTACAGTTTGATCAACTTTCACATGTAATTTTGACTCTATGGGGAAACCTAGATTTGAAAATTGGCAAGAAAATGTTTGTTTGATGAACTTGGACATTCAGGTTGATTTTTCCTCAGGATCAGCTTGAAAGCCCCAATGTAACTTTCTACTATTTCTGCTTTATGTGCAAAATAAGATTTTCTAGCTCCAGCTGAATGGCAGTAAATGCAAATAAAACTTCTGTTAGCATTTACATTTGGCCCTGCTACTTTTACAGCTTCAGAGCCCCCTTTCTTACTGGAAATGTCTGTCGTGCATGAAGCCCCGACAGAAACAGTGACTCATGAGGAGACCTTGCACTTGACACCCAGTGCCCAAGAGTCGACCCCACAACCCAACACAGGGACAGCTGAGCCAGCTGCTGCGTCTTCCTCTGACCCCCAGCACGTCGAGCAAACGCCTGGACCTTTATCGGAGACAGAGAGTCATGAGAAAGAGGAAGCTGCAAGTTCTACTCAGAAGGAGGCAGAGCAAACTGCCTCTTCCCCCTCTGACACTGATCTCCCTGAGCCAGAAACAGAAGACACAATAGGTGTCAAACAGAAGACACAATAGGTGTCGTGGATTTCTCAAAAGCCGAAAACAGATGGATTTTACGTAGATATGAACAGCGGCAAAATTTATTACGTAAGAGGGAGGAAAGGCGTGACTTGGAAGAGTGATCCCACATGGGCTTGGGAAAAGAAGCCATTAGAGAGTTAACATCTGCTTAGCAAGGACCGCTATTAGGGAACTTTTCTATAGAGTTGTAAATCTTGTAGACAATTAGCATGAAAGGACTTTAGTTTTATTGCTCTAGAATGTGTGGATTGTTTACATACCGGGCTGCACGCCTTGACAGTATCAATTGAGGCTGAACAATACTGACCCCAAATCCACATTTATAAATAATGAATAAATATGATATGCAATGTGTTAAACAAGCATAAAATAATGAATTGGCATGTCCTAGTTTGCCCCATCAACACATCACTCTGCTGGCATCTATCTCAGAATGTACAATGGATTTTAGGTTACAGTTAATTCAGCAGAAACTGCTGTTTAGGGTTTATTGGATGCCACATTGTCTTTTCAATAAGGGTTTATCTAAATTAGCCATTTGTTGGAGGTGTAATATAGCTAATGCTTTCGTCACTCATATTTTGGAATGTGCAATGGCGGCTTGGTTTTGGGAGGAGGTAATAATATGGATAAATCTTGCGATGGAAAATTCTTTAATATTTACAGAGACACATGTTCTTCTAGAATATCTACACATCTTTTGGAACTTAATGCAAGGTCAATGCAAATGGAACTTCCATACTCTTCTGACAGCTAAGAGACTAGCGTTACAGCAAGGAAAGACAAACAGCAACTTTCAATAAAATAACAGGTTGAGATCTTAATGAAACTTTGATTTTTGAACAGATAGTCTTTAAGGATAATCTATAAATAGATAAATATATGGATGTCTGGGCTGTTTTTGTAAAAGGTTGTGCATAACTATCAGTAAGAACAGCAGAATATTGCTATACACAAATTATATAGTGGTACCTACTATATATGTATGCACTGTAAGAGTCACTCAAGCCAACACTATTTTTTTCTTATTTTGATGTTTACACTTAAAATAGAAAAAATAAAAATGGGTTGGTCCTCTCCAGGGCACAATAGCATCCTCCTTCCCAAGACACATGAAATCCCACAGTCCCTCACCTGTTGTCTAGAAGAAGCAATCCATGCTCTACCAGTTCTTTCACTTCCTCTGATTCTCCAAACACATTCCACAGACTGAGATTGGGGGCAAAATGTAGCCAATGCTGTAAGAACAAAATCCTACTATCAATAATTGAGTGTTTCTCAGTATTTTGAGGAATTGGCTTTGGGCCTAATCTCCCATCAAAACACTGATAAGCAAAACTATGAACACACAGGAAGATATTTCTTCTTAACGTCAACAGGAAGCCCTCTCAATGAATTCCTTATCCTCACACCCAACTTGCTTTAATCCTTACATCTGACAGTCCTCTGATGAGGCCTTGCACTGAGTCCCCTCTACCCATAGCATTTAGACCAGTGTCTGCAAGAAGCAGGGCTTATTTTGTGTCATGACGTTCTTCTGGGATTCTCCTCCCTATGCCCACAAGGCTAGTTCCACAGAAGTTCTCAGGAAGAGCCAAACCCTCCTACCATGTTTTTGTAGTGCAGTCTTCTGAAATTTGCTGCAGGAAGCAATCTGTCGGCTCAACACTGCTTATTGCTTGAAGTATTGTGCCTTGCAGCATTTTAGTAATTACTTGAAGTATGCTGTTGTTAAGGATTTTACTTAAATGGCAGTCCCTAATTTTTTAGCTACTTTATTCTCAAGTCAAAAGGAATGGGAAATAAATGTACACAAGTACGAAGAAATGCCTATTTTTCTTTCTGTCCTAACCACCTGCATTTAAAACATAACAGCCAACTTTTCTGAACTCCATAGGTGACTGATCTTTCTAAAGAAGGCAATCAGCTGGTTTAGGGGCAAGCCCCTCTTTCTTGTATAGCATCCCTTCTAACGCCACCAAATAACAACACCAAACACACCAATAACAACACCAAAAAGCATGATTGCACTAACAGGGCAAAAGTGTAGCAGAAGGGGTGACTGTGTGTGAGAGAAGATGCTTATTGTGTGTGTGTGCTTTTGCTTTTGACTGAGTCTGCACTGTGTATATGCAAACTGTCTAGGCCCAGAAGGTTTAGATTTCCAATAATACAAAACCTGAAATCTCTGAACCGACCAAATCCCCAAAATTACATCAGAGTTGTATAGTTTTTGCTGATGATTTAGGGTGTAACTGTCATGCTTGACACACTACTGCTGCCACAATCAGACACCTGGCATTAAGATGGTCTCCCCTCCTGTAAATGGTCAGTCAATTTTAACTGTACTTTCCTTTTGGCCCCTGCTCCCAGAAGACTTAGTTAACTACCACTAATAAGAGGAAGGAAACAACAAATTAAGTCAGGGGAAAAAATACAGGGAAAGGGGAAATAACTCAGCATGGTATTGCTATTTTTATCAGCAGCCCTGTGTCAAGCATCTCTTCTAATTCCGTCCTGGAGAGGTCAATGAAAGAGGCAATAACTGTTTTGTGGCAAATAGACTGGGTTTTATGGGATTGAAAAGGAAAATCTACAGATCCTAAAGTTTCAGGCTCACTGGAAGTTTCATATAGATCTCTTAAAATTTCTGCCCATTTATGTTTCCAGAGGATTCTCTGCAATGGCTGATCTGATCTTAAAAACACACACAAACAAACAGGTTCAAAGCATTGCAGCCAGACATACACATTTCACTTCCTGACCACCTGTGCCTGTTATTCTTTGGTGCCAAGTAGCTTCTATCATTAACTTATTTTCTGAACTGTCTGACTTTTCTAGAAGTGTAACAACACACTTCTGCTATTTCACTCCATTCAAGATCTGTGGAATTACAGCACACAAGGTATGAAGTCCATGCAATCAATTGCAAGAGCAGTTGTTGCCATTATCACCAAGATATTGGCCCCTACCTGGTGTGTGATTCCTGTATCCATACGGAGTCCCAGCATCAGGACCTCCTCCAGTCTATAAAAAAGATGGACAACACAAGTCAGCAAATGGCATTATTGCTGTATTGCAGATTAAAGGTTAAGGAGTCAAGATATGGCTTAAAGGCACTGAATGAATTCATGTCTGAACTAAATTTGAACCTAAGACTTCTCGGCTCACACACTCACTGTATTTGCCTAGTTTTCAACTATACTACTTATGTATATAATCATAGCATTGCTAGTGTGGTGGTGAAAGTGTTGGACTGGGGATCTGGGAAAACCGGGGACTAGTCCCCGCTTGGCCATGCAGCTCACTGGGTGACTCTGGGCCAGTCGCTCACTCTCAGCTCAACCTACCTCAAAGGGTTGTTGTTGGAGGATAAAATGGAACTATGTAAGCCACCTTGGGTTCCCCATAAGAGGAAAAGGGTGGACCATAAATACAATGTAATAATGTGCATAACAATAATAATGAATGGGAATGGTATGACAAAATTCATCTTGAAGCCAGCAGCTGCCTCAAATTCCCCTTTTACTTACATATCCAGTTCACTCAGCACTGTCCGCTTCCGTGTCCCATGCCCAAAGGCCAATACTTCTTTCATCCATATATCTGGCTCCAGTGTCTGTATTCTGGACTCTCGATGAATCTTGCCATCTGCCCATGGCACGAATCTGCCATGGGCTCCTAGAAGAGAGGTAGCCAGTGCTCGGACTTATTCCTGATCTCTAGATGAAGCAGGTCAGAGAAGCAACCACTACCCAGGACAAGGAAGTGGCCATGCCTTCCCCAAATCCCCAAGCTTGTCAGGAAACATAGTCAATTGTTCTCATCTGCAGAGCACTTCCATGCACCCAAACAACACTGGGACCCTCTAATTTCCCCAGAGCAGCTCACCTGGTCCAAGCCCAATGTACTGACTGCCTTGCCAGTAGGAGAGGTTGTGGGTACTAAGTGCCCCCTGCAAGGGAAAAAGAAAAGAGCAAACCAGTTCAGGATTGCAAAGTGTAACATGATACCGGACAGCCTTCAGTGACTGATTCCTGAGGCTCTTGAGCACCTTTCTGGGTTCTAGCATTCAGCTTTCCTGTATCCATTTTCCCACCATTCTCTCATGTGACAGGAACTAAGCCTAGTACTCAGTTCCATCTGTTTGTGGCACCATGAAACATGCTTCGTTTCTGTGAATTCCTTTCTTCCCACACTGCAAGTAAACTTCAGGCCCTTCTGAATTATGTGTGGCTTACTCCCTCATATATAGATTATGTAGCACAAGGACTAGCCAAATGAAAAGACTTACATTCCTAGCAAAATTGGAGACCTCATACTGACGAAAGCCTGCATTCTGCAGAATGTGCCGTGCAGAATCATACATTTCTGCTACGACATCTGGATCGGGCATGGGCAGGAAGCCCTGATGGACCTGCTTGAACAGAGAAGTGCCTCTCTCCAGTGTCAGCTGGTAGAGAGAGATATGATCATCACACACAGCAAGCAACTGCTCCAAACCCTGGACCCACGAGGCAACTGTCTGACCTGGAAGACCAAAGATGAGGTCAATGGACACACGGCTTGGAAAGAGTTTCCTGGCTTCTTCCAAAGTTTTCAGAGCATCACCAGCAGTGTGGTTCCTTCCAAGAAGCTCCAGTTCTGCATCATCAAGTGACTATGAGTGAGAAAGGAAAGCAATAAGAGTGTCTGGTTTGTTAATAATACAAAGAAGAAAAAGGCAAGAGTATTGGGGAAGAGTTACGACTCAGGTGAGAGAGTTAAAACGTCATGAGAGTGTGCATCCATTTCTATGTAAGTACAAGCAAGAATGAAAGGAAGCAGAAAATAAAAAAAACTGCAGTAAAAACCAAACCAAACTTTATATGGGGGATCTGTGACTTTTTGCAAAAATAACATGCGGCCACAGGCAGGGGGGTTGATCAGAGCAGATTGTATGAAAATAACTCTCTTAGGAGCTGGCTGTTTCCTCCACTGCTGTTGCTTTCCATCATGCCAAATTTGCAACATAGCTGTACACATGGCGGAATTATAGAAATCTCATTGGTCCTAGGAAGGAATTACCCACAGGTGAGACTGGTAGCGACCTCAGTATATGTATCAGCTTGTATAAATAAGCCATTTGGAAGTACTTATTCCATAATTGTTATCTGCTTGTGGTACACTACAGCCTGGAAGTGGGGCGAGGAACAAATGGGTAGACCACAGCAGACTAGGTGACTTTTTGGATCCCTCCAGCTTTTCAGATCTATGAAAACAAAATTGTTCAAAATTGATCTACATGATTCTAAGTATATTGGTTTAAACTGAAGGTTGTGTGAGCAGATATCTTTCTCCCCCTCTCTTCCCACTGCAGCACTCCATGCCACCCAAAAATCTGAAGGGTTTCCTAGCTCTCCAGAGAAGATTTTAGGGTGGGCACTACAGTGGGAGGGGGATCACCACCTTCTGAGATCTCCTGAGGGAACTGCTTCCTTCAGTGGAACAACACCACTGGATGCCATCCAAGTATTTCAGTTCTCTCAACAGTATTATTATTTCATTTTGTAGATCAATAGTCCTTGCATCAGTTCCCTCACCTGGATGCCAATGGAGAGGCGGTTGACACCTGCTTTCTGGAACTCGGCAAGGCGCAAGGCATCCCCTGAAATGGGATTTGCTTCCAATGAAACCTCAGTGCCTTCTGCTAAATAGGCACATTGGGAAATGGTATCCAAGACAGCAGCAATGGTGAATGGGCTGGCCAAACTTGGTGTTCCCCCACCAAAGAATACTGATGTGATTCTGCAGACCAAAGGAAAAGGGGAGGGAACCTATTAGAGAAAAACAATGGGAACCATTTCTAGAGAGACAACTGTGTTCGTCTGGTGCAGCAACTTTATGCCATCATCAATTTGTCTGAGGTATCATGGAAGTACCAGAAGATTCTTTAAGGTGCATTCATGTGTGCCTCCATCACGTTTACCTGAAGGATATTATTATTATTATTATTATTATTATTATTATTATTATTACTACAAGGCTTCCACTGCTCAGAAAGACTTCTGGTGTCTGTAGGCCTTTATCATAGGCTGCTATGGTAAAGAGTCAGAATGGCTTATTCCTAAATAATAAAACTCCAAAACCATGTTCTGTTTTTGGCTTAATTATAAAGCACATCTTTACCATTTTCCCCATTCCTTCTAGGTCTCACAACTATAAATTCTTGTTCTCAAAACCATTCTTCTCCTCTTGCAGTGCTCCCTACCTTTGGACTCGGCTGAGCTGGATCAAGGTCTTGGCCTCCTGAATAAGGCAGTCCCTCATGCCAGATTCATTAAGGTTTCGGGGGATATACTTGTTGAAATTGCAGTAGCTGCAGCGTTTCTCACAATAGGGCCACTAACCAAACAAGCAAACAGAGTTATTACTTGCAAAACCCAAGCACTCTTCTGGTATCTTTCACGGCATTGTAACCCAGCTGTGCCTAGAAATCCCCACGTACTTTGTCACCTCAAGGCCAACCACACGGTCTCTCACTAGCAAGGGTAATCAATGTAATTTAAAGGATTTTAATCCATACCCACTTCTGTCCCAAAGGCAAAATAATTTTCAAAAACCATGGTAAATGGTCAAAACAGTGCATTTGGACATAAGCATCCCCTCAGCCTCATAACAGTTTAAACTCAGTCAGTACATGTTAGCCCAAGCAGAAAGATCTTGTTCTGCTTCAAGATGTCCCCGTCTGGCTTTGGTTAACTTCAGAGCCTTTCCATCACCATGCTGTGACCTAGTATGGAAAGTGTGTGGTCAGCAGGCAACCTATTCACAGAGCGTTAACCATGGAGAATCTATGTGGTGGGTATGAAGAAAAACTCTCTCTCAGATTCACATACAGAAAATAATATTCCCGCTGCACTCCTAAAATAACTACATCATCTTTGGGATAGTCCATCCTGTCCCCCATGCTATTTAACATCCACATGAAACAGCTGGGGAAGGTTATCTGGAGCTATGGGCTGAAGGGTTAACAATACGTAGATGACACTCAGCTCCACCTCTCTTTTTCAGGTGAGGCGGTGACTGTTTTTATTGTTCTGTATTTGTTAAACTGTAAAGAACTCAGAGAGCCCAGTGAACTATGAGGTGGTATAAAAATGTAATAAATAAATACATAAATAAATAAGAACTGGTGGAAGTAAGATTGCAAGCCAAGCCAGCCTTCTGCACTTGCTATGGCAATGCCCAGCACATGCTTGTTCTGGAATTCTATCATTGGACCGATTGCAAAGGTCTTGACTAAATATGGTGAACATCGCAGTGTAATACCATTCCAAAGCAAGTCCAACTTGCCAAAAATATGTATAGCTGCTGCCTTTTCAAAAATTCACATAGTACAGCCCTCTTAGGAGTGTTTCTATGTATACATATTGCAGATGAATGAATAAATTCTATTTTATTTTCCTCTTTTAGTTTATAATGTTCAATTTTAGATGTTTTAATAATTGTAGTTTTAATATTGTATTTTGGAATTTTATATTATGTAAGCCATCCTGAGCACTTCCACAGAAGGACGGGATATAAATGCTTGTAGTAGTAGTAGTAGTAGTAGTAGTAGTAGTAAGAATAATAGTTCCATGTTACACCTCTACTTTGAAACCTCACCTCGCTGCACATGGAAACCTGAAGAACTCTTTTTGCTGAAGTGCTATTGTTTTGTTAACATGTGGAAGAATTCAAATATGTCAACTCCCTTTAGTTTGACATCAAGCCATTTAACTCAGGAAGTATGGTATCATGTGATATTCATATGTAGTTTAATTCTTAGTTAAATAAGAAAGGAGGTACAGGTTCTCAGTTAACAAGAGAAGGTCGATTGCCATACTTGGAGCTCAGAATGAAATGCTGGACTACAATGCCATCTGGAGTGTATTCTTAGAAGTTTCTCTCAGATATTTAAAGGTCTGGCAACATTTTGAAAGCCTTTATTTAAGAGTGTTTAAACTTTCAGTCCTCTAGCCCTTTTCTCTAAATTATATCCTGGAATAATCTAATTATATATGAATTACTTCTTGTGCAGCCAAATCTAATGCTACATGAATATTAGTTCAATTAACCCTATTCCTTAATACAGAAAATAATAGAGGATTCCTAATTGTTGTAAGCCGCCCCGAGGCTTCGGCAAATGGGGCGGCATAAAAATGTTTTAATAAATAAATAAATAAATGAAATAATTAAGTATGCACAACACTAAAATGGGATTTGTTGCTCTGCTTCAGTTGTAGATTTGAGGGATCTAGAAAAATAACAAACATTCGATAAATGAGATAAAGATACGTTGTTACATTATTCTCCCAAATAGAAACTACAGGATAAAAGGATGGATCTATTACCAAGTAAATCATATTGCTGTTGTTATTATTGATTTCATTTCTATACCATTCCATAGCCAAAGCTCTCAAGGAGGTTGACAACAATCCATAAAAGCAGAACAATAAAATACAATATAAATATAGTAACAACAAAGCAGCATTAAAACCAAACTAAAACAGTTAAAAATGACCTTGTTAAAATAAAAACCCCGGTAAAAATGTAAAGCCCTCCAGACCCTTGGTGATCAAACAAATCTTTAAAGCCCTCCGCATAAAAGACGGTCTTAGCCTGGCACCCAAAAGATGACAAATTTGGTGCCAGGTGGGATGCAGTGGGAAGGTTCTTCCATAGATGGGGGGGGGGGGGACACCACAGAGAAAGCCCTCCCACTTGTTGCCACCCTTCAAGACTCCCTCAGAGTTGGCAGTCAGAGGAAGAAGGCCTTAGAGGTAGAATGTAATGTTTGAGTAGACTGCAGTTGGAGCAGCTTTCTAAAACCAACATCCTGAATTTGCTCTGTAATCCGCCTAGGGAGTCCTGTTGGGCTAATCAGTTGCAGAATAAAAAAACTATTAATATAAATAAATTGGATCCAGGGGCACACAGGCAGCCAATGCAAGCAGGCCAGAATGTGTTCCGACCTAGGAAGGGCCAATTACTAATCTGCTTGCCACATTCTGCTTGAACTGCAGCCTCTGAATGTCTTCAAGGGCAGGCAAATGGAGAGTGCATTGCAGTAACCTAATTTAAGAGATTACCAGAGCTATCTGTTCTACTATATTACTATATATACTATCAGCAATGGTAAGGACTGTGGAAGTTCCTCTATTTTTGGTTCCCCTTGTGTATGCTTTACTGCAAGGGTTGGAATTTTATTCACTCTGGGTTTTCTAAGTGTATATGTAATCAGAGTTTTATTCATAGTCTTACTACTGTTTGAGCATCCAACTTATTTTCTCACTGTACGGTATATTACTTTTGTTGTTCTAGCTTATGGCAAAGCTAATTTATAACTTAAGAACCTTTCTTATTCTTGAAAATAAAGTGAAATCACAGAAGAAAAGAACTAGCTTCTATTTTCAGTGACTTCTATTCCTGAAGACTTGTTAAATTTGACTCCAGGTTAGCACGCAAACCCATTACAAGCAAGTGCAGCACTGGTGCAGCCTACTGCCACTGGCTTGCTGCATGCAGACAAACTGTGCGTTCTGCATCAGAACATTCCTAGAGAGGTTGGTAGATTTGCAAATATTTTGCGTTACAGTCACACACTCTATTTCACCTTGCAGCACGTCAAGTCATGAAAGGGGGTAGATCTCCTAGTCAGAAAACCACCCCCATTTTTACTGAAAAGGGAGAGTGTTCCCAGCAACTACGCCGGTATTAACCTGCTATATTTTATTCCTCCTCTTTAGGAGTAAGCTGCCCCGCTAAAATCAAGAGGGGAAAGCCGACCCGTCTTCGGGATAAGCGGTATTTCGACATTTAACTCCGGAAAGTCATGGCGCCTGCGCAGGCGCTAGAATCCGCGCGTGCGCCGGAAGCGCCGGTCGCTCGCCCTCCGAGCCAACTCACGTGCACATAGAGAGCGGCCTGTGCTGCGGGGGGCTGCGCGGGGGGGCGGGTGGCGTGGCATCTCGCAGGCGGGCGCGCGACGCAGAGCCCCGCCCGCAGCTTGCTTAGTCGCGCGCTCATGCGCCCCCCCGCGGATCGGGCCGCGCCCGCGCGCGTATCCGCTTCGGCGACCGCGGCTGGCGGAAGCGACCGAAAGACCCGCCCCGCGGCGAGGGAGGCGCGGCTCCGCTCCGCGCTGCGTTTGTTCCGGTGCGGGCCACGTGCGTAGTAAAAATTGGGGGTCACTTGAGCCACTGCACCCGTTTTCATGTTAAGCATCTGGTGTAACAACTGTGAGAAGTAGAATATTACTGTGACTAACAAACTAGAACAGGTAAAGCTATTTATTATTATTATTATTAATTATATTTCTATACCACCCATAGCCGAAGCTCTCTGGGTGGTTCACAACATTGAAGTCCCCCATCCAGATTCCAACCGGGCCTGACCCTGCTTAGCTTCCAAGATGAGGCGTGATAACGGACTAGAACGGGTAAAGCTATACGGATCTCTTTGTGATTAATAAGAGTATTGTGACCAACACAGACTCGTAGACTACAAGATGTAATTGGTAGACATGGCATTAAACTTTTGAACTTAGAATCCAAGGTACGGCTGCGTAATAAGCTAATGCATATTAGTGGTGCTTCCTACTATGACTCAGGGTTATTAACATGAACATGGGACGTATGAGCAGGTGGGGGTAACATACCAAGGAGTAGTATGATGAAGGCGGACGGGAAGAATGTGAATTCCCAGTATCCCACCAATGGGAGAAAGGAGGCAGAGACTTCGCGCGTGAAGGGAATAAAAGGCTGTGTAAACTGCTCCCCAGTGCACTACCTTTGGGGTGAGGGCAGTCTGGCCAGAATGTATTAAACTGTTGCTGCTTGGTACTTTGCCTCCCATATCGTCATTGCTTGGATTCCATTCCTTACACAACGTTTAAGTAGCAAGAAAGGGGGTAATGCGCACGTGCAGAGTGCAGGTCTTTTGCACTATTTGGTGGGGGTTTTTTTGCGCTATTCTTTTGCGCTATTGAGTGGGTGAGGTTACACTATAGAACTGGGACTAAGGAGGCTGGGGTCCAAGTCACTAAAGCCCTTGGAAGACTGTAAGACAATCGCTTGGTCTATTTAACCGACCTCACAGTTAACCCTGTAGTTGGTTAATTGGAGACAATGTAATTTGCGTGATAGTGGGTGTGGATGGGAAAGAAGCTAGTACACAGCTCTAACTTCCACTTAGAGGAAAGGTAGAACTTAAGTCATTTATTATTACATTTATATGCTGCTTCTCCTGCATGCAACCCAGGGTAGCTTACATGGTCCTCCCTTTCTGCATTTCATCCTCTCAACAACAGCCCTAATGAGGTAGATTGGGCTGAGAGTCTGTGATTGGTCCAAAGCCATCCGGTGAGCTTCATGACTGAGTAGGTAGTAAAACGTTGATCTCCCTCATTTCAGTACAATACTAACTGTTACAACATGCTAGCTCTCCTATTTATATTACACTTCAGAGTTCTCAATATGAACCTAGTATAGATACAGATGTAACCTTCAACATAACTTATTCATGGAAACAAGAAAGTGTGTGTGGACAGGGAATTATTCCTTCCCCTTATCAAAGGCTTTCCTTCTTCCATCATGAGCTGATAAAACTGAACACAGAAAGTGGAATAGAAACTAGTCTTTTGACAAGCCAAGTAAAGCAATGGCATTTATCCTGTGCACTTTTTAAAGTGAATCCATGTAGGCTATGAAGCAGCAGGTACAATGTTACCGTGAATTGTCTTGTCATCTCTTGCTGTGAGCTTTTAAAATGACTTTACAATTCCAGCAACTGGTCAGCAGATGGCAAAGCTCTACCATCTGGAGACATTGTGACTACTTGACCACAGTCAGATTTTTTTCTGTTGAGATTTCAGAAAACCCCCAACAACGGTCATAAGAGGCAGAGAAAGTGGAAGCGGGGTGGAATGCCCTTTCTTACACACATTACCTAGTTTCAGTTCTTATTTGGAATTGCCTTTCCTCTCTCAGGAATCAGCACAAGCGTCAAAACATGCTAAGTCAGACTCAAAGGAGCAGCCTCCATTAGCACATGACACAGAGATTGGAAGCAGGAGAGGCAGCTCAAGCTTCACTCTGGGGATCAGGCTTGATTCGCTTTTGGCAGGCCAGAAAACAATGCCAGCCGCAAAGTGGGATTGCTCACCCACATTTTGTAGAGCCATTCTACCAGTCAGCTACAGGAGACAAGAATGTTACGTGCTGTCAAGTTGCCTCCCACTTACAGTGACCCTGTGATCGAAAGCCCTCCAAACTGTCCTGCCCATGGCAGCTCCAATCAGCTCTTTTAAGGTCAAGGCCGGGGCTTCCTTTATGGATCCAGTCCATCTCATATTTGCTCTTCCCTTTTGTCAGTACATTCCATCCATTTTGTCAATACAGTAATGCATTCTTGTAATCACCTGGCTGGAGAGGCAGCAGATACTCGCTTTCCCAGGGAGGAGGGTCTAAATGAAATGAACAGGGCACTGTGTTTCCTCAGGGGCTAGTTCTGTTTAGGCAGAATTTCATGCCTGGTGTCCAGTGAATGCCACTTCTTCTTTAGGGAAAGAAACTTGCAAGAGTGGGATTGTAAACTCCTGGGACATGTGAAAAGCTGAATTAACCTTGAGAATGACTGAGGGTTGGAACAGAGGAACACCTTGTCTTTGAAAAAAACACACAAGTCCCTATCAGAGTGAAGGGCTTTCAATTCCAAAACCCTTCAAGTTGAGGTAATGGCAGCTAAGAATATTGTTCTGAGAGTTAAAACCATGAAAGTGCTGCCCCCATAGGCTCAATCAGAGCCTTGGTAAGGGCTCTGAGCACTGTATTTGAGCTCCGAGGAAACGTATGGACTGGGAGTGGATAGATTAGGTGCCGTCAGGAACCTGTTAACACAAGAATGAGAGCCCGGGGGACCCATTTGAGTTCTCCAGGTTGGGACCTAGGGCTGCTACCTGCCTCCAAAGGGTATTGGACCAGAAACCAGAGGATAGGCTTGCTTGGAGAATCTCTAGGATGTCTGGAATACCCATGGCACCAGATCTCTGCCTGAGGCTTGGGCCCACTTCAGAATGGGAAGACATATGCCACAGGGCATCTGTCATCTTAGAGATGATACCATAGACATCCAAGACCAGTTAGGTTGTGTGTGAGATCCTAGTCCTGTGGGTTAAGGAGAACATTTCACATTCTCATGCTATATGTGAAAGTATTGAATATGAAAGAAGGACCATCAGCCACATTGAAGCAGAAAGTTACATACCTCTCTCAACAGAGGTGGTCCCTCCTTTTCTGCCTTACCCATTAAGAACTGTTAACAGCATCAGGTCACAGCAAAGGACAGCTAAAAAAATGGCCAGGACGAGAAGGGGACCTCAGCCTCTGGCATACCTGAGAGAGTGAGGTGAGTGAGCCAGTCATGGGGGAGTGTTGTATGGGTTACATGGGCCACAGCACTCTTCCACCACCTGCCCATATGGTTACCACCAAATGTTCTTGTGTGGTGGTTAGCTGTGCAACTCTGCTGACCTCACACTTCGCATCCCGCTTCTCCCACTGCATGGTTGTCTCACGCCCACGAGCAACGAGAGACTCGTCCCCTTGCACATGCAACCTGAGTGGGCATGGAGTGGAGGGTTTACTCACTCTGGACAAGGTCCCTGCTCTCTCCCTTTGCAGCCTGGAATGACTCAACCTGAGGCCAGCTGGAATGAGGGTGAACTAGGATGGAGAGGAAGATTGGAGAGGTGGGGGTAAGGGAGAATCCATGCATGGATTTTTACATGGAAGGACTCTGAGCACCATTCAGTTGTGGTATTCAACCAGCAGAAACATGGGTTCAGACTTAGGGTTAGTCACACTCTCATGCTGACGCTGTGGCATATGTTATTTCTAAATGTGTGTCTTTGGACTGGGTGCCAATTGGTGGACCTTGAGGTTCTAGTAAAAATCAAAATAGATCCCCCAAGCCTGAAATCAGTCTATCCCTGTCCTAAGCCATAGCAACCAAGAAACCAGCCAGGGCAGAAATAAAGTTTGTAAGGGACAGCCTCAGCAGGATAGCATGGGCTCTGACAGGAAATACTCATGTATGAGATTGCAACCTGGTCACCCGAGTTTCACTCTCGGGCCTTTGACAGCTTCAGTTATGACATAACTGCCTGTCATGGAGCTCCCGAAAGCATTTCAGCAGCCACGTATTTCTTTAAGAAGGAAGAGCATTCAGTTTGAAGTGCCCAACTTGGTTCTGAAGAGGGTTAAAAGATCTAAATTGTAGGGGAGAACAGAAGAGGAAAAGGGCTAGAGAGGCTGGGGAATCTGAGAAAATGAAAAACTGGACAGCCAATTTATCCCGAGATAAACAACGATTCAGAGGAAACAACACAGGTTTATATTCATGCATGGAACTTGATGGGACACAGGATTAACTGAAGGGTTTTTGCAAGCTGGTGAAGTGAAGGACTGCTGGAAGAACATTCAGTGCTATACAAGACCGGCATTTGTACGCGCAGGTGTGTGCGCATGTGCACATCAGCTCTGTTTGCCCTGTACTCACCAGCTTCTTTAAGGAATAACTACCTGCCAATACCATCCATACTGGAGCTGCTGTTTTGGCGGGCAAGCCACAACATCCCCCGCGCTGCTGGCCCTCCACAACTAAGACGCCAGTGTCTTCCTAAGGGACTGACACCAAGAGAAAGTGGTGATGAGAGCACTGGTGAACTTCCCGTGTGCCTCACTTCCTTGCTGTCAGTGCTTGCTGTGCGTGTGCTCATGCAGTGGCCACGGTGTCACTACCGTCCGCTTTCCAGAAGACCGCAATGCTTTGGCTTTGGTGCCTCATAGCACTGAGGCATTCTGCATGTCTTACCAAATTCGGAAGAGAATTGTGGCTTCTAAGTTTTACTTCCCCATTTGTTCTTTTCGAAGAGCAAGCAAGGGGTTCAGTGCATTTCACATGGGAGGTTTCTGCTCACTACATCCAGGGAGACATCATTCCAGCCCAAAGCAGAGGAAGTAAGCAGATTCTCAATATGGAGAAACAGGAGAATGTTCCTGTTTCTTGATGAAAACCCCTAGATGACTGTGCTTGACTTCCTTCTGCTTGTTTTGACAGAGAGTGGTGATTAGCTCCTGGCAAATGCTGAGCTCACAGTGGCCCAGTGGTGGGCATTCCCCTCTTTCCTAGCCAGCATTATAAGAGGGAGAACCTCAGCTGGCCAGGAGAGCAAGAGCAGAGCCCATGAATGCTTTGTCCTAAGGAAGCCACTGTCATGCAAGAGGATTTCAGGGATTCTCTCCTCCAGGTAGGCAGACAGCATCATTAAGACTGTGGGAAAGGGTGTGTGCATATGCTGGGGGAAACCAATGCTTGCTTAAAGGCATTTCGTATTTTTGTGTGCATTTTCTTCTTTGCACGCACTAAAGTTGGGAGGGAGAAAGGCTAACCAACAGCCGATTGAAGGGACGGGCTGTTATTGAGAAATAAAAGGATTTCACACTGCCAACGAAGAACCACATCATATTGCAGCAACTATATGCATGGCAAGAGGCAGCTGGACCAGTTCAGAGGCCCATTGGGCCCAGTATCTTGTTCCCCACAGTGGCTGCCCGACTGCCCAGTGGGAAGCCCAGAAACGGCACATGAGTGCTCTGTTTATTTCCATCTCACATGCTTGCTCCTGAGCAAGGAGTGTTTAGAAGGATGCCGAATCGCTCACTGTTCAGCTCAATTGGATGCCCATGGGTACTATTTGCAGGGTGCCTGAGGGGGCACCTTTCTGCATATATTCCTACCCATCCACTTAGATCCTCTTCAAAAGTCCTCCAGTGAGATCAAGGGGGAAAGGGCTAGGAGGGCATTCTCAGCAGCAGCGCCCAGACTCTGGAATTCACTCCCCAGGGATACGTAGATAGCTGGCACCAACTCTTCTTTCTTTTTTTAGGCACCAGGTGAAAAATTTAATACTTTGTTAGGGATTATTTATTTTAATTTAATGTTGGTTATTTTCTCAGTTGTACTTATTTGGGATATGTGGGTATATCTTATTATGAGATATTATCTATTATGTTATTTTTATCTATTTTATCTGATTATTAATTGTTTTATTATATTTTATGAATGTTGTTATGCTGTTTTAGCATTTCTGATGTGATGGTGTGCAATTCTATTTCTTCTATTCATCCTTCACCAGTTGAGGCTGTGGATATGCTAAATCAGTGTTGGACTTTAACCCTTCTGGATAGGGTTCCATTTCCCATGAAAACATGAGTTAGCAGTCTCCGGAGGTGGCCCCAGTGGCACAGAGTGCCTTCTGCCAACTTTGGCTTGTGTCACAGCTGTTCTCTCCCCCTCTAGACAAGGTTAACCCGTCTGTGCTCTAGTAACCTCCAGGGTAGATTATGTGCAGTGGCCTTTGAAGATGGTTCAGAAGCTGTAGTCTGTATGAAACGTGGCAGCCAGATCGATAACAGGGACCAGGAGGCCTGATTGCACTGGTGGCCTGTGTAGATCCAAGCAAGAGTAAAGGTGCTGGTCTTGATCTGTAAAGCCTTGCACGATTTGGGACTGAAATACCTGATGGAGCAGCTTTCCTGACATGGCTCTGTCCATGCCCTACATTCATCGCCTAATTTACGGAAGGTTTAGAAGGTGCCACTGAGGAAGAGGGTCTTCTCAGTGGTGGCCTACCAATTATGGAATGATTTCTTTGATGAGACCCACCTGGTGCCAACATCAGCATTTTTCAGTGCCAGATTAAGACCTCCTTCATATGGCAACATATGATGCAGTTTTTAATGCTTTTCCATTTTTGTAGTGTGTTCAGAATTTTTAGATGTGTCTGTGTAGTATATGCTTATATTTTTATGTATATGGTTTTTATAACATACGTTAAGATTTTAATATCAGTTGAATGCCCAGACAGTGCCAGCTATTGTGCAGTATAGAAATATAATCAACAAAAATACAGCTTCCCGAGCATTTCTGCACAGCTCCACTATGTGTGTGTGTGTAAAAATGGTGATAATAGTCAATTTTGAACAATCTAAAGCAGTTACTCACACCTGTCCACAGTTCCATTTGTTTGTTTTATATTTATATTCTGCCTTTTTTCCTTCCAAGGATCCCTAGGCAACTTGCACAATTCTTCTCTCAATCATATCCTCACAACAACCCTGTGAGGTAGGCTGGGCTGAGAGTTTGTGATTGGCCCAAAGTCACCCAGTGAGCTCCTTGGCTGAATGGAGCCTAGAACCCAGAGTGCCTTAGTCCCAGTCCCACATTCCCAACCACCACACCACGCTGCCTCGGCTGTTTATGTGCTGTTCATATGGAACGCTTCCTGGTTGGTCTGGCTGTTAACATTGCCAATGGAGAGTTCTAGGAGACCGGGAAAGTGCTGCTAGAGATGCTTCAGACACAGTGCTTCTTTCGCCTACCTGGTGCCTTGCAGGTGTCTTGAGACGGTTATCGGCCACGGGTCCCAGTGCACTGCTTCAGAATGGCACTCAGGGAAGGGACTGGCCACGGAGTCTTAGTTGTCTCATTCGTGCATTGGTTGAAAAATCTTGCATGTTGGCCCTGTGCTACATAAAACAACAACTCTTAATTCTTCACAGCTGCTGCAGCGCACATTGATCGCAAAGAATCCTTCTACCTTCCCCTCCCACCAGTCTTCACATGTTGTAAATTCTTGCAGTGGATTAGAGTGGATCCTGTTATCAAGTAAGTGTGTATGTATGTATATGTATATATGTGAGTCCTTGTGTGCATGAGAACATTTTAACTTACCTGCTCATAGCCTCCCAGATTTACAATTGCTTCCAAATGAGCAGCAACTGCCATGCTTGGCAGAAAACTCCTGAATCTACATGTTTTGATCTGGAGGATAATTCATAAGCTCATGTGGTTGTTGTTGTTAGTTGTGAAGTTGTGTCCGACCCATTGCAACCCCATGGACAACATTCCTCCAGGCCTTGCTGTCCTCCACTATCCTCCGGAGTCCACCTAAGTTCACACCGACTGCTTCAGTGACTCCATCTAGCTACCTCATTCTCTGCCGTCCCCTTCTTCTTTTGCCATCTATTGTTCCCAGCATTAGGCTCTTCTCCAGGGAGTCCTTCCTTCTCATTAGGTGGCCAAAGTATTTGAGTTTCATCTTCAGGATCTGGCCTTCTAAAGAGCAGTCAGGGTTGATCTCTAAGACTGACTGGTTTGATCTCCTTGCAGTCCAAGGAACTCGGAGTTTCTGCCAGCACCACAATTCAAAGGCCTCAATTCTTCAGCACTCAGCCTTCCTTATGGTCCAACTTTCACAGCCATACATTGCAACTGGGAAAACCATAGCCTTGACTATAAACACTTTTGTTGGCAGGGTAATGTCTCTGCTTTTGAGTATACTGACTAGATTTGCCATAGCTTTCCTCCCCAGGAGCAAGTGCCTTTTAATTTCTTGGCTGCAGTCCCCATCTGCGGTGATAGTGGAGCCCAGGAAAATAAAATCTGTCTCTACCACCATTTCTTCCCCATTTTTTGCCAGGAAGTGAGAGGACTGGATGCCATGATCTCAGTTTTCTTAATGTTGAGTTTCAAGCCAATTTTTGCACTCTCCTCCTTCACCCACATCAAGAGGCTCTTCACTTTCTGCCATGAGAGTGGTATCATCTGCATATCAGAGGTTGTTGAATCTTAATTCCAACTGGTGATTCATCTAGCCTGGCCTTTCTCATGATGTGCTCTGCAATAAGCTAAATAGACAGGGTGACAGTATACAGCCTTGCTGAACTCCTTTCTCAATTTTGAACCAGTCAGTGGTTCCGTGCCCAGTTCTCACTGTTGTTTCTCAAGAGACAAATAAGATGGTCCGGTACTCCCATCATTTTAAGAACTTGCCACAATTTGTTGTGATCCACACAATCAAAGGCTTTAGCATAGTCAATGAAGCAGTAGATGCTTTTCTGGAACTCCCTAGCTTTCTCCATGATCCAGCATGTGTTGACAATTTGATCCCTAGTTCCTCTGCCTCTTCGAAATCCTGCCTGTACTTCTGGTAGTTCTCGGTCCACATACTGCTGGAGCCTAGCTTGTAGGATTTTGAGCATAACTTTGCTAGCATGTGAAATGAGTGCAATGGTGCAGTAGTTTGAACATTCTTTGGCATTGCCCTTCTTTGGGATT